CATGACTTTTTTTTCTTACAAGACAACCCCCTCCTCTGCCCCTCACTGTCTGTCTGTCTGATTGACAGCTTGTCCATGCAGCAGAAAATAATACATAACTCAAACTCAGTGTGTGATGCAGGGCTGGCTTTTCTATAAGACTGTTTTGTGGATGGAGGTCAAAATCAAAATGTGAATACCATAAATGAGTATCCACCCAGTGACCTGTGTGTGTGTGTGTGTGTGTGTGTGTGTGTGTGTGTGGTGTGTGTGTGTGTGTGTGTGTGTGTGTGTGTGTGTGTGTGTGTGTGTGTGTGTGTGTGTGTGTGTGTGTGTGTGTGTGTGTGTGTGTGTGTGTGTGTGTGTGTGTGTGGTGTGTGTGTGTGTGTGTGTGTGTGTGTGTGTGTGTGTGTGTGTGTTGTGTGTGTGTGTGTGTGTGTGTGTGTGTGTGTGTGTGTGTGTGTGTGTGTGTGTGTGTGTGTGTGTGTGTGTGTGTGTGTGTGTGTGTGTGTGTGTGTGTGTGTGTGTGTGGTGTGTGTGTTGTGTGTGTGTGGTGTGTGTGTGTGTGTGTGTGTGTGTGTGTGTGTGTGTGTGTGTGTGTTGTTTAAATCATTATCTATCCATCCATTCTCCTCTCTTCTCTTCCTAGGTATCGACTTTAAAGTAAAAACCATTGAAGTGGAAGGAAAGAAAGTTAAACTACAAGTCTGGTAAGAGATGACAGTTGGTTGCGTGTCTAAAGATTCTTAGTGTTTTGTGCAACTGTCTTTTTATTTAACGTTTCTAGCACAATGTGCATGCATCAGTGCACATTGTTCTTACTCTGCCTGTGTGCGCTCTTTGCAGGGACACAGCAGGGCAGGAGAGGTTCAAGACCATTACCACAGCCTACTACAGAGGAGCCATGGTGAGCACAGGATGCCAGCGGAACAAGCAGACTGGATAATCATGGCTGACATCACTGTCGCTTTGTGCCCGCTCTGTACCTTTAACTGACTCCTTAAATCCTCTCTCTCAGGGTATCGTTCTGGTGTACGACATCACGGACGCGAAGTCCTTCGAAAACATCCAGAACTGGATGAAAAGCATCACAGAAGTGAGGATCTTTCCAAACAGTTGGTCAAAGTTATTAGGAAATAGTGTAAAAAAACGTTGCTTAGTCAGTTGTTTGTATAAGTCATTAGTATGAGCAATGTACACAACAGGGGATTTTAAAGGGTCAGTTCACCTAAATCATACTTAAAGCGTATTTTGCTTTTACCCCGGGTTGTCACTTACTTTCCTCTAAGAATGAGAGCTGCAATCAAATACTTTTTTCACCAATTCATATTTTTATCTCATTATTTGTCTTGACCTATTTATGAATTTGTTATAAAATGTCAGATTTTTTTTTAAAGCAGACAAAACCCAAATATGTTACGTTTATCAGTGTGTGTGACTCGTGGCTTTTGATTTTATTCAAAATACCTAACTGTGTGCACAAATATTTGTACAATGTGGCAATTAGGGGCAATATTTTAGAATGTGGATAAAATGTGGACACTTTACAAGGCCAGATAGTACCAGGCAAACTAACCCTCTTTTCTGGAATGGCTTCAGAGAAACTGCTGTCTGGTCGTTTATTGCAGACTTGATGCAAAGATGTCTGCTCCCACACTCCGCTATGCAAATCTTATTGTCGACAAGAACTGAACATAATCAATTAACTGCTTTCCCTCTTTCCCAGAATGCATCAGCCGGGGTCAGTCGAATGTTACTAGGCAATAAGTGTGACATTGAAGCAAAGCGGAAAGTTTCCAGGGAGACGGGAGAAAAGGTGAGATGACCCAACATAAACTTGACTATTCCTCTGTACTGTATCTGTTGTCGTACCTGTTACAATAAAGTTTAATAATTGTATCAGAGCGATTTATTGACTCTTTCTATCTTTTAAACATATGAGGCAGTTATTGTTTGAGAAGGGGATTGAGTGTATCAGACTTCTCAATTACTTTAGATAAGAAGCAATAAGTGATTATTGGCCATATCCTGACCTACTGTTATCTTGTCTATTGTTGGCAGTTGGCAAAAGATCATGGCATCAGGTTCTTCGAGACAAGTGCAAAGTCCAGCATCAATGTGGACGAGGTGAGCCGCAACGTAACCAATGACTAACAAAACACTGTCTCCATGCCTCATTAAACTTAGCTCATGAGCTGTTATGTTTCATGTGTTTACATTCTACAACCGCTGAACACTTTCTTTCTATGTTTGCTTTAGTCTTTTCTCGCATTGGCACTCGACATACTACAGAAATCCAGCAAGAAACAAGTAAGTTGTACTAGAGAAAAAACCAAGCTGAAGCATTGGCTCCTCCCTCAATATACTGTAGGACTTTATGTTTTACATGTCTGTAATTTCCTCTCTTTGTCTGTATTTCCTTCTCTGACAGGGCCCCACAGGCCGAGAGGTGAAAATCACCAGCAATACAGAGAAAAAAGCCTCCAAATGTGTTATTCTCTAGATATAACGCTGCCCAGCACACGTAAGATTACGCCATACAAATGTAAGAGCACATCAGTATTACTGGGGAGGAATAAAGCAGGTTTTACGTCTCCATCTAGTGGGCTCACATATGAAATACAATCAGCTGCTAAATGTTAAAACACCCAAAACCAAGAAATTGTGGATTTCTTTCCTGAGTGGCAATTTTAAAAACGTGGTTTTGTTTGTATTTCCCATTGAACATATCTTCTTCCACTGATACTGCGGTAGTGTTATTGTATCATGTATTGTATTATAGTATCATCAAAATGTTGCAAAGAGGGGCTCCTAGATGACTTTAAAGATATCTGACACAACATTTCACCAAGCAATTTTCACTATGTTTAACTGAGCTATACATTTCTATTTCCACCTTGTATTTCTCTGGCTTCTCATGACATTATTATCACTACAACAGCACCGCTTACTGTCTTTTAAGAACTTTAGCTGTGTTTTTTAAAACGGGCTAGATCTGTAAAACAAAAAGGATACTATATTTTAGGGGCTTAGTGGAAAAGGTTTGGAAAGTGGTTTTATTTGCAGAAATGTCACTGTAGGCTTCTGATCTGAGACTCGTACATTCTGTTAGATTATTTAAATACTTAACAGAAAAACATATTTCTTTTGTCAGATCCCTTTTGTATTTCAAGGATTTGTATAGTATTATATCAGGAACACGGACAAGTTGGCATCACATTCTTGCAGATATGGGGAAATAGTGGACCAAAAATATATTGAGTTATATACTGAACATGAATAAATGTTACAAAGCATTTATATTTGTTATTTTGTTGATGTTGTGCCAAACAAATTGATTACATGTTTCAATATTTAATTTGATCATGAGAATCTACAGTAGATATAACAATCCTCCCAGGGTCTATAATGTGGAGCTTTTTGGGTGACATCCTAAGAGAAGTTGATGAATGCATGAGGTTTAATCGGAAACTAGCACGGGTGGTAAACAGGCTTTGTTTTAACAAATGAATGGATTGAGAATGTGGATGATAGGAACAGAGATAAGTGCAATATGAGAAGATGAGTGGAGAGATGAAACAATGATGGATAAAGCAAGTGGACAGGATGTGAGGGAAGCAACAGCGTTCACATGCCCTTCACTTCTAATTGATTTAGTGGGTCTTGCCTTTTATCTGAAGTGCCTTAATCTCTAAAACTACCACACATTAGCCACATCTGACAAGACAGTCTCCATGTTCAAGCAATTTCAGATAATACTAAATGACTGACTAATGCTGCTCATCTGATCCGGACAGACATACTGGATTTCCTGTATCTGCCTTTTATACTGCCTTGAAGTCCATCTTTAAAAAAAAGGGGGGAAAAAAGGGGCGGTGGTGGCGATGTCGATAGGGACTTGGCTTGGCAACTGGAAGGTCACCAGTTCAAGTCCCGGCAAGACCAAGTGCTACCGAGGTGTCCCTGAGCAAGGCACTGTTCCCCACACTGCTCCCCGGGCGCCGTTCAAAATGGCAGCACACTGCTCCTAACACTAGGATGGGTCAAATGCAGAGAAACAATTTCCCCACGAGGGATTAATAAAAGTCCATCTCTCTATACATTTATTTCACATTCAGTGTCTTTTAAGACCTGCCACACAACTTTGTACGTTTCCAGACCTGCTACTTGATAAATAAAAAATGCTTAACATGAACTGAATGAGTGTGTTGTAGTTTGTCTGTCGGTAAGTATACAGAGGATTCCTGGAAGGATAGATATCCAAGAAAGTGGCATTGTTTGATGTATTATTTGAAGATCATTGCTATGGTGTGTTTTAGAAATGTACTTGTTACATTAAGGCTGTTTAGCACTCAGGTTATTTTAATTTGTATGCTATCTCTTTATAATGTAATCAACAAAAGTAAACATGCAAAGAGAATCAGAAAGCTAACATTAGGTAGGCAAGAAAAACCAAGCAAAGATAATAAATTAATGTATTGAGAGTTCATTTGTATATTATGCATGTTTTTCTTTTTAAAACGTTGTTTGAAATAACTGCACTTCTAGTTATTTAGTTGTAGTAGAAGAAGAAATCCTAAACAACAACATCACAACGAAACAGGGTAATAATAGAGGAGTAAACCATAGGCTTTTTTGATACAAGTGTTCGAAGGTCTATTTCAGAATCTTCCTTTAAATCCAGATGCCGAGTATACACATACCAGGACTCTTACATAACTGGAATGTGTTAAGGCCTATAAATATCAGCAGCCAGAACCTTTTTTTAGATTTAGATTTTTAGATCATTTAAGTGTGTGTTTGATTGCGGATTCCAGTAACAGGGCAGAAAGTGGCTTTGTGTTTCAAGGACACTTAAGGGAAGTCCTGTCTGTGGACCTGCATGGTGGATACCAAAACTAGACCAGGCACCTGTAATATACTCATTTTTGTAGGACCCACCCTTTTTATAATTTTTAACCACTGTCCTGCCAATAGCATCTGTCAGTGAGTCCCCATCCCCCTTATTGCAGCAGCAGGAGGCTGTCGCTAGGCAACTGCCCCTCCTTCCCAGCATCAGCACCACAACGCTGCCTGCCGCATCTTCAGGCTCCTGCACGTCCGTTGCGTGCCTTGTCATCACGCTGGGCAGGTTTCGGTTTGCAAACACGATACATCTCGTTCCCAGAGCTGTGGCGAGGAGCACAGGAGGACAGGGCTGCAGAGGGAGGGGCGAGATACAAGAAGAAGAATTAGAAAACACACTTGGGTGGATTTAAAGATGGTATCCCGGACATAGGTAGGCTATGTTGTTATGTGACGTCTGGTGGTGGGAGGCAGTGAGGTAAACGTCCGGGAGACACACTCACAAACACACGGGCTTAACGGGATGCCCGCGTGACTGCAGGGAGGGAAGAGGCGGTGGAGGAGGAGAGGGGGGGTCTAGGTGCTTGTGTGTACCACCGCAAAAACCCCGAGGTGGAGTTGTTAAAGATAGAAAGCTGTGAGGAAAGAACAATTCCTGCCTTGGCTGCTATTTTTGGTGCAGTTTGAAAATCGATGGAGGATATTTATTTCCTGTTCACGTCGAGATAATTAGTCTCGCTTTCCCCGAACGAACCGATGTGATCGTGGGGCTTTTATCTCCACGCCGTCTTCTTCTTTTTGCCGTGACAGGATGAGGACCAAACACAGGGTCGCACATGTTCGGATGTTGCTCCTCCCGGTGATCGGACACACGGACTCACCGGCTCCTGTCATCTCTGAATGCTGGGGGAGAAACGAGTGATCAGCTGCTCTCTTTGGGACACTTTAAAATCTGCGGCCTGCTGCTTGGGTATCCAGTTACCGCAATGCCACTGACGAGAGGTGGAAGAGGTGGAAGGCAGAATATGGATAATAGGGAGCATCAACAATCATAAAACAATTATGTTTAAGTTGCCAAAAAACTAGCTTCATTCATGTGATTGTGTTTTGATCATAGAATGATATGAGTGGACTATTTAGGCTATAGTGGCCTTTGATCTGTATGGGCTAAACGAGACATTGTATTGACTGAGGCTTATCATGGCTGAACATGAGGTTAGTGTGGTGGCTGTGAGTGTGTAGTGGCTGCTCAATTCTCAACTTTCTGCTGACAAAGTTCTTGGACTCACTCACTGGACTATAGCGTGCACCATGGGGCATTGCGCAGAACCTATGGTACCTGCCAGTAGAGAGCTTGGTGCATAATTGTGACGAAGTGGAGCTCTGAAGCCAGGATTTATGTCTCTCCCTCTTCTACTCGCCTGCACTTCTTCCCACACAGCTGAATTTGGATTTCTAAACTCAGAGTAAACCTCTCCCAGCCTCCTCCTCCACAACACACACACACACACACACACACACACACACACACACACACACACACACACACACACACACACACACACACACACACACACACACATCGAAGAGCCTGACATGCCTTCACCGTCGGACTCCAGCAGCGTGGCTTCGGCCTCGGGGTCTCGAGGTTGGTCAGACAGCCGCAGGGGCATGTCGGGCCGGGGGCCTGGGGGGGCCCGGCTGCTCCTCTACCTGGGGCTGTGCCACCTGGGCCTCGGGGCCATGGTCCTGGCCTTCTCCTTCACCAGCATGGCCTTCACCTCCTCAGCCCGTGTGAGGCAGTCTTGTCCATTTTGGGCTGGCTTCTTTGTAAGTGTGAAACTCAGTGAAAACATACAGTATTGAGAGTATACCAGAAGAGACACTGAAGGCTGTGTTTTCTAATTGTCTGCAGGTGGTGGCATCAGGAATAGTTGGAATAATCTCATGGAGGAGACCTCTGACGCTGGTGGTATGTATAGTTCTGATTAAAGGAGTATCCAAGTCTGTTAGCTTTTGGTGAAAAACAAATGCCATGGAGGAATGCGGGATTTACAGGTTGAAGAAGATAAAAAGGGGCTCAGAAAACCACAGATTTGTCCACTAGGTGATGGCACTGATTACACATTTGACTACAAATATGCACCACTATAATATCAACTCAAGTGAAGGCATCTCTCCACCAGAAGCTGTGTGCGATCAATCATATCAGATCTTCTTCAGCAGATGAGGTTGTCATGGAATTGTACATCCTCAAGTTTTCATATATTATTAACATGTTAAGTACCTCTCTTCCATGTTAGCTTAAAAGCTGTCATTCAAGCTGTAATGACAGTTGAAAAAAACGTATACGGTGGTCCCTGCATTTTACAAGTATTGTTGTAACATGTTTGTATATCTTTACAAAAAAAAAACAATCCTATTTGATTGTCGGCTTATTTGATTGCATATTCATACATTCAGTAAAACAATACAAACTAAGAAACCTACAGCAAGTGTGGGGGTGGTTGATCTTGCCATGACATGAAGGGCATAAAGTTTCCATCCAAATTAAAATCCAGGTAACTTCACTACCTCCTCCAAGGCTGGATGTATGTTTATTAGTGAAATCACCTGTCACACAGAAGAATAAAACCCTGCACACTCTCTTCCCTCCATCCTCTCTGTTCCCCCACAGGTGTCACTGTTCATGCTGCTGTCTGCAGTGTGTGTGATCCTCAGTCTGGCCGGCTCCATGCTCTCCTGTCAGAACGCACAGATGGTCAAGTCCATGCTCACCTGCCAGGTACAGAACATTATTCAAGTGTTGTTTTCTGCCTCCTGCTGAAATGCCCTTGAAAGCCAGATGCACGGGGAACGTGTGAGGAATAATTTTGAATATGTATTTAGTTTTCAGTGTTTCACACCAATCCTCTGTTTGTGTAGGTGGAGAATGGTCTGTGTGTGTGTTGCGCGCCCACTCAGTCCTGCTCCATCACAGAGGAGGAGACCCTGGTCCTCTACCTGAACGCTGACTGTCACTCAGTCAGACATCAGCTAAAGGTAAGTCATTTATTTCTATGCAAGAGTCACCCAACTATTAAAAGATTGTCGTTCAAGTTTGTCTTAAATAGTTCTCAACAGGTTTTCTTGTTGTAATGATTCCTCATGTGCAAACTGCCCATTAAAATATATCCTGTGTTGAAGGACACAGATCTTGTTTTGTGCACAGATGTATTCAAAAGTCTATCTGAAACTAAGTAAAGCCATTTGGGTTAAACACGTTTACTTGTTTCTTAGATTGTCAGGGACAATGCAAAAAACATTGTAGCTGGTTATAATAACATTATAAAGATATGTTGCATATTGGATTTTTTACAAAGGCTTATTTGAGACCCTTTTCCCTTGTTAGTCACTGCTTAAAAAGGTCATAACATCAAGTGAACATCTCCCTGAGTTTCAGTGTATTAGTACCAATTACATATTTTTGTGACTATCTTTCCACTGCAGCTCAGGGGAAAACAAAGCATGTTTCAATGTGTGTATAGGGCATGGGAAACTGACTATTGTTTTAAAACAGACTCTGAAAATGGTGAATCTGACATATTCCCACTATAAAATGCCATTACATTGTGAGATTGTAATCTTCTGAATGCATATTTCTCCAAAGGACCTTTTGTTCAGTGCATGCGGTCTCAGCATTCTCTCCACCATCATCTGCACTCTGTCCACTGTGACCTGCAGTATCCACATATTCTCTCTGGATCTCGTGCACCTGGTGAGTACAGACACAGCACATTTTACATTTACCAGGCTGGCTTTTTCCCCCACAAATGACAAGCACTCAGCAATAAACTACACAGCTGCACATTGAAGGACAGACTTGTACTGTAGCATTATTGAAGCTCATCACATTTATCTGCTATGTGTTTTCCTTCTTTCCCTGCCTAGCTGGCCCCACATCGCTCCCGTTCAGTCAACCCAGAATGCACCACTCCTCAGGACGCCTTCCTGACCAACATCATGGACTTTGAGGAGTTTGTCCCACCCATCCCTCCTCCCCCCTACTATCCTCCGGAGTACACCTGCAGCTCTGAAACAGACGCTCAGAGGTACTACCTTCAAAAAATGTATAATACTTTAACATTACTAATGCACAGTGTGTCAAACAGTCGTACAAAGTATTCAAATAATTGAATCTTAAAATGTTGTTATGGTTTCAAGGTTAGGAAATTGCCTGAATTTAATTATAGTCCCTAAAGAATGCTTGGTGTTTAATATGACCACAAATCTATAGATGTTTAAAATAAAAGAATTGCGTATTCATATTTGTTCGTTGTCTCCTGGCATCTTAAACCAGACATCGAGCAATGGGAGCTAGCTAAGCATTAAATAAATTAAACATATAATCAATTATAATATAAACAGCTGGTAAAATATATATATATGGGTATAAATTCATTCTTTAGTCTTTTTTGGAAATATTTCAGTTTAAACGTGCTGAAAAAATGCTTGAATTTAAAACTTAAAAAATGTAAGAACCATTTAATAGTCACGCAAACTATGATCCTTTGTTTACATTGACCACATTGAATGTGCACAATAATGATTGTTTGACATTTTTTAATTAACGCCCAGCATCACGTATAATGGCTCCAGGGAGAGCCCCGCTCTTCTCTACCCCACGGACTGCCCCCCTCCTTATGAACTTGTGATGGGACAAAGAGCTGCAAGCCAGGTGAGTTTGTGTGTGTGCGTATGTGCATGTTTGTGTTTAATTCAATGCTGATCCTTGTTTATTTTAATTATCAAGGTAACAGTGTTTGACCCCCAGGGCACTGAGCTGTCTGGAGAGAGAGGAACTTCTACTGCCTTCAGTGGAGAAGGTGAGAAGATGTTCAGTCCTAAAGGTTGTAAATGTGCTGAAGGGACATTTGGAGATATTCAAATATATCTGTTATTCAAAGTGTGATACTGAAAATCCTGAAACAGCAACATTAAAATGTATGATAATAAAACAAGCCAATAATGTAATTCAGTTATCACATACCGTTCTTTAAAGAGGTAAACCAAAAAAAGGGATGCTTAATATAATCAAATAAAATAAGTACCTTTGTTTATTAGTGTCCATGGATAGTGGATCTCTGTTGATGTCAGAGATTGTGGACATCCCTGATGACTCCTCGCCCTCTGAGGACTCCTGTCTGATGGAGGTTGGGCTGCGGACCCGTGGGGAGAGGGGCCACAGGAACGTGAGTGAGGGGGGAGACGTAGGAGACAGCGGGGAGTACATCAGCTTCCGCGGTCCCCCGTCTCAGACGCCAGAGAGTCCTTTGGCAGGAGGACAGAGAGCCAGACTTTGCACCAGAGGAGAGAGGTCTAACTCCTGCTCTTCCCCCAGCACAGCAACCCCCACATACAGGTGAGCACCAACACAAATGTATGTATTAATATGAGAAAAAAAACTGTCAAATGTATTTTGTATAGCACCTTTCATAAAAGAAATGCCGCACAAAGAGCTCTACAAAAAGGGAAATTAGACAGAATGAACATAAAACTGCTATATTTGTCCTTTAATAACAAAACAAACGTCTAAAATATTAGATTGGAAATATAACACACTATAAAAATACTTGAAATAAATTAATGAATTGAATACATAGAATGAATAACAAAAGATGGAAAATAAAACTTGAGTTAAAAAACATTTAAATCAATACCCATAATTGCAGCTTGCACATATAGAATAAGCACTAATATTGTAAGAGCTCTACAGTTCATTTGTAATGCCCTCCTCTGTCCTGCAGGTCTCCATTATTGCGTCACCAGGCAGTGATAGCTAGAAGCTGTTCCCAGCTTGAGGCCATCGGGAAAGCCAGCTCTCCACAGCGATCCTCCATCCCAGAGTTTCGAGGTCGGCCCTCCACTCCCTTAAGCCAAGGAGCTACCCCAACCTCCTCTGCTCCCCCCATTTCATCCTCAGCCACATGTGAGCAGAGTGCTGGTGATGGGCCACCGCTCACAGGTCCATTGTACCTTCGACGAAAGGCCGGGAAGAATGAGAAGAGTGGGGAGCGGGTAAGAAGGGATAGTGAAGGGCTCCTTCGTCTGGTGAGGTCACACAGTGAACCGGGCCTCAGCTCCTCCACTGACACAGGTAAGTCAGACACACACGAACAAGAGTACATCTCCTAAATACCATTTTGTTGTCTATAACCTGTCCTTGTATCTTCTCTTTTCTAGTTGAATTTGGCTCTGGAGGCAGCAAAGTATCTATAGACACAGGTAAGAGCTTAGCAATAACATCCTGCGGTAAGATCTGTTTGTTGAATGTCATCACTGTGTCTCTCTTTCAATCTCTCGTTTCACATTTAGCTGGCAGAAAAGCCGAAAAGGAAACACTTCTAAATTGTCTAAACGACAAATATGCGCTTAATGGCTTTCATTTATCAAACCCTCTTAGAAACTAGTGCAGATTCTACACTGATCTGTCACTGGCCGCATGTGATTTATTAATATATCTCACAAGATCTAAATAAGCAGTGATTTAATTTCAGATTGATGAATTTGATTCTGCTGCGGAAACAATAATGAGCCTCACCAGTTCCTCATGTACATGTTTTTATCAATTGAAGCATTCTGATTTATGAATGTTATGCTTCTTTTTGTATGAATAGATCAGGGAACATGTGTTGGTTCTTGTGTACGATGTTGACAACTTTATGTCAGAAAGGTAGTCCTATTTTGCAGTTTATTTAGTATTTGTTATTTATTTCAGGCTGGTTAGTCCTTCTGGCTTTATCCCTCCCCAAAGTTAAATGTAGCCGTTTTTACCTGGCAATAGAAATAATAAATGTGCAAACTGACTCCTGATGAGGGTCTAAATCTCTCTCTTTGTCTCTGACTCTGATAGGTCCACCCTCTGAGGCATGCCTTCTGCCCCGCACCTCTTTGACTCCTGCTGAAGCTCTGCCAAGGAAAGGCAGCATGACATCTGCAGCCACAGGGGGGCCGATCCCCGCCAAACCTCCCCCCACCTCACCACTGCGTTTACCTAAAGACTGCCACCGTTCCCTAGGAGACCTCAAGGTTAGTTCGAAAAAAGATGATTTGCAAGCAAAAAAAAGTGCAATAGTTGTTCATCACATGGAAGTCTGAGCTGTTGTTGTTGTCTTATTTATATCCTTCCCTTTTTTTTAACTTATCCTTCAGGTGACTCGGGGTCTGGTGGCTCGCTTCCTGCAGCGCTCCAAACGCAACATATCGCCCTCCTCCGAGCATGCTGGGAGCACAGGGCAGTGGCCTAAGAGACGGAGTGGAGTTGAGGGCGCTGCCAACAACCACCTGCAACTGGAACAAGTGTGACAGCATCTCTGATTTGGCATATTTATGTTCCCGTCTCCAGCTCATTACATCAGAAAGTTCATTGTTTCTGTGAGTTAAGCCCTCTGCACTTTGCATTAAATATGATTCATCTCCAGGTGTTGCTGACCCCTTGGAGCACCAGAGGAGGACACCCCAATCATCACTCACATCACCCTCATCGCCGTGGACACCACCATTCCCATAGTGACAGTCGACACAACCGGCATCACGGCAGTCGGGCGCCAGAGGGAATCCACCTGCGCAGCTGTGGAGATTTAAGCTCCTCGTCACTATGTCGACTCGTGACACCTCATCCACCGCATGGGTCATCGGGAGCCCTCTACTCAGAGTCTGCACTGTGAGCAGGGGGAAGGAGGGATGGAGGAGGAACATAGGACAGATATGAGTTGATAGGGTTGTTAGGAAGTTGGGAGGCAGGCTGATGAAAAGTCTGAGGCAGTTAAGTGGAAATATCTAGCTCTGGAAATGAGTGTTTACTTCTTTTCCTCTTTGTCAACTCAGTTTGCTGAAGCCAACTGTCAAAATGGCCTTATTCAGTGGTGCTCTTTATCACTCTGAACATCAGCCCAAAGCTCACACTATTTCACTTTTCAACATCAGTGAAAGAGTCACTAGATGCTGGGCAGTGGGTCCCTATTCGATCAGAATAAATCACACAGAGACAACAAGCATATTTTCTGCTGTATTCTCCACTTCCCCTCTCTGAATACTGATCTGCAGACATATTTTTCCTCAAGACTGGATACAGAACTCGACTAGCATTCATGCTACAACAACCACTCACATGTACATTCGGCGAACATTATTATGGGTTGCTATATCCTTCTGGCCCTTTTGTACATTGCTAATCATCCACCAGGTGAAGTGATCATGGAAACACATATTTGTTGTCTTCCATTGATAAAAAAAGGATCTCAATAGACATATACTTAGCTGAGTATAATGTAAGATAAACAGACAATGTTGCACATGAGGACACAGGAGCTCACATGGAAACATCTTAGCTGAGTTGCTGATTTTGTCTTTTTATTTTTGCAATTCACACTCTCCACATTTTTCCACTTTCACACTGGCCTTCAAAAAGGCAGCCAGCATTTGTAACATTGACATTAATGCACGCCACAGACACATGCTAAGCGTTTGAAATGTATTCTCTGTTGGTGGCCCTTGGACACGGTGGTATGATTTGCATATGTGCATGTTTTGCTACAGTCCCCGAAATACAGCAGGAACCTTGTGCATTCAACCCTGACCGTCTGTGTAACTATGTAACACGTCCTCAGAATGTCTTTAACTGCATGTTTGACGATGCTTATATCTTTTTTTTCCTCTTGCACCCAAGACTATGATAGTATTCATTTGAGATGTGTTTGTGTTATAGATAGCTGAAGGGGAAGGTCAGAGTCAAAGATGCGCAGTGCTCCCAAAGTTTTCTGTCAGATGGCTCAAAAAATGTCTCTGCAACCTAATTTGATGTTGATAAGGTTTGAAAATGATTCAAGAGCACAGGCGTCTCTGTGACACTGGCTAAAGTAGGTGGATCCTGGAAGATAAAAGGAGTACATTGCACTGTCACTCTGATGACATGACGAGTCTCTTGCAATAAATGTACAGACTAATTTGTTTTAGGGTCGGGCTTTGCACTATGTGTTGGTACGGTTTCGCTTTGTGGATAGGTGGTAAATGAACAAAAACTTGGGCTGCTGAGTGAACATGTGTTGGTTTTGGCAGCTCTACATTTTGAAGTATATTAATATTTGTGTCAGATGGAGTTATTTCTTTTTTGGAAAGTATTTTTGGTGTGCTCACTAAGTGATGATAATGGCTCCATATCAGTAAAGGCACAGTTTAAAAACATTCATATGTATGTATCTAATTTTAAAAAATGTACACACTTACACTTAGCCTGCACACAGAAACAGGCACAACATACACACCCTTATTAAGACACTACGTTGTATTTCTACCTCCTGTCTTGCAAAAAAAACGTTATTTATTTGAATAAATGTATATATGTATGGCAGGCTTAACAGGATAGAGCCTTGAAACATGAATAATAAATGTATCTTAATATGACACCTATTCCAAGTTATGTATTTCAAAATATGAAATAAATTATAGACATTAAATTAAAAAAGAACTTATGTTGATGTTTTGTAAATCTTATACAACATTGTAGGGTTAATTTTGTATGGGTTCTTATTAGCGTTTTTTCCCCACTTTTCTACTCTATCTCGGGCCCGGCGCCACAAGGGGGCAAAAGGGGGCATTGCCCCCTCAGTTGTATTCTTTGCCCCCTCACTTTGAGCATCATTCATCCATCGAAAAGTAAAATAAATGTCACAATTATTAAATAACTTTAAATAATTATTTCCCCCAACACACGTTACTATGATTAGATCAGATATGTGGGCAGGCAGCATGGGCGGCGCCAGGATTGTTTTGCTGCAGTAGCTTAGCAGTTGCTATATGACAGCACGGCGTTGCTAGTTAATTTAAAAAATAAATAAACAAACAATACCAATGGGCCAAGCACGAGCCTGTTCATATTGTAGCGTTCACCGCTATTCAAAATCACAGATCACGAGCCTTCAATGTCGAAAACGTTCTCTTTATTTTCTGGTAGGCCTATTGACGGCCACAGCCACGCCGTACAGAACCAATCAATAACACTCATTATTACTTTTCCCCACACTCGAACACAACTCCTACCGTCTTGTACTCCCTCCACACACCGGAAACCACACACACACACACACACACACACACACACACACACACACACACACACACACACACACACACACACACACACACACACACACACACACACACACACACACACACACACACACACACACACACACACACACACACACACACACACACACACACACACACACACACACACACACACACACACACACACACACACACACACACACACACACACACACACACACACCTGGAAGGGGCGGTCTCTCACTAACTCCCACAAACAACATTGCCTAAATAACTTTACAAATGTACTAAACTGTGCACATCTGATAACTGACATAATTATTAACTTGGACACGCTACAATAATATCATTAATATTTACATTAAAACATTCCTTTGACACTTATAACATTACTTTGCAAGGTAAGCACAACCAACATAAGTTGATAAAAGCAGAATTTGAACACTGTTTCTGTGCTCCTATAATATTTTTGTATAATAGGCGTGTGGTGCAGTGGGTTGAGTGTTGGTGTTCGGATCAAGGGGTCACAGGTTCAAACCCCACTGCAGTCAGCATGTCGTTGTGTCCCTCGGCAAAACACTTCACCCCAAATTGCTCCTGTTGGGATTTCCCACAGTATTGAGTATGTAAGTCGCTTTGGATAAAAGTGTTTAACAAGTGACATGTAATACCATAAGTACACAATAGCGATCGTTCACTGTTTCAACTGGCATGTACACACACACACACACACACACACACACACACACACACACACACACAAACGGATGTCCGGCTCCATTGGAGATCGTTTACGCTGACTTACTATATAGGCTCACCTCTAGCTTCACAAATCTCCCCACTCCACCTTGGCTCCACCTCTTCTGTAATCCTATTGGAAACCAGTGGAAAAACCCATCCTGGTTCGATTGCACTGGCCAATCAAAACGCTCAATGTCAAATGGAGCCTTCCAAAGTTCACGCCCACATGCACCATTCGAGTTCTCGCAATGGATGTTGGGGAATTTAGTTCTGGCGCTTTATATTAAAACGGACTGCAACGTGACAGCGAACTACAACCTGCACATCCTGGTCTGAGGAGACGTTCACTGTCTTCAGTTTAAAAGCAAGACGAAGAAACAGAAGATAAACTAATAAGCGTTCGAGTACTTCACAATACGGGACAACAGGACAGTAATCATTATGGTATGAAAAGGCATATGTTTGACTCCAAAAATATTTAATTTGGCAATTTATAGCTAGCTTTGTTCACAGGCTGGATGCATGAACATAATGTCAGCTAACGCTTCTTTTCATGATAGGGAAACCAACTTTAGCTAATAATAGTAATCCTGGCTCTTGTTTATGAGCTTAGTGGGCTAAGAGACCATGGAGATAACCGCCGGCTTGATAGTTTTCTTCAACCGGAACAAGTTTAACGTTATGTTGTTATAATTAAAACCGGAACCGCTTGTTCACAGTTAGAGATGACATTTAGCAGGTTGGGAATGAGACGTCTGCGTAGCTTGGTCATTAATGCCCCTCAAATATTCCGCACAATGTGGCGCGAGGTCTCTCCGTTCAAATTAAAAACCACATCTGCTTTGCTGTGCACCTCGTCTATCCAGGGAGACAGCATTTGCAATGGGACGCACAGCAGCAAAAAGGCGTTGCTGTCGGACCCTCAGTTGTTTGAAGCCCAGTTTGACGAGCTGGTGACGGAGCTTTCAGAGAGGGACTTATCTGACCCGGCGCTGGCTGACGCACTCAGCAGGTTAAGAGAGGTATGTATGGTGTCATGCTTTGTTTCCTCTGACAGGTGCATGAGTGGACTGCTACTTCATTTTGATCCTACCTGCGCCTGTTTTCCTCTTAGGTTTTGGTGTACAACTCCCCTGGAGGCAAGAGGAACCGAGGCCTGTCTGTGATTGGCTCACTGAGGGAGCTACTCCCGCCCACTGAGCTCACACAGGAGACCGTGCAGAGGGCCCTGGTTGTGGGATGGTGCATTGAGTTGGTAAATAGATGTTTTGTGTTTTTCTTACAATAAACCTTACATTTAAAAACGTAAAAAGTACATTTAGGATGTGCACCAAAAAAACTAAATAAACTAAGATGCAATGAAAAACAGGACTTTACAACACTTACAATTGCATCAGAAGTAATAACATAAAATAAGAAATATACAAAATACAGTCAGCCTTATGCTTTAAAGTTGAGCCTGTGTATTGGAGCCTTTATCTTGTCAAGTGTAAGTAAAAGAGGTCTGGCAAAAGAAAACTGGTATAAGAAATATGGAATAAAACACGGTGGTTCATTACACCTTAAAACAATGAATTCACAATATCTTTAACCATGTCATTTGTTTAATACTTTATTCAGACCTGAGCTCCACATGATCAAGGTTACACAGTTGTGGGGGGGTTGTAGGAAAGTAAAGCTCTTATGGGCTCCTAATGTGTCATCACAACAAGCACAGACTCAGACTGACTGCTGTGATGACACTTTGCCAGGGTGTTACGTTCTCTCGGTCATTAGGAAAGTGTTACGACTGTGTCTCTTTTGCTCGCAGCTTCAGGCATTTTTCCTGGTGGCAGATGATATGATGGATGGATCTGTGACTCGGAGAGGACAACCCTGCTGGTACAAAAAGGTGAGGCTTTATATTTTACAAAAAGATACTCAAACGCCTTGTTTGTTGATATGTGATTATTCATTTTCCACTATTAATGGTGTGCTCAGTATCTCAGGTGAATCATGCGTGTTTGTTTTGAAGGATGGGATTGGTCTGGATGCCATCAATGATTCGTTTCTCTTGGAAGCGACGATCTACAGACTTCTGCGCAGACATTGCCGGGAGCAGCCCTACTACGTCCACTTATTGGAGCTATTTACTGAGGTACTTTACGTCCGGATTGATTAAACAGGCCTACACATTGACACATTGTTCTTACTGCATGTTACCGCTGTTTCAGACCTCTTTCCAGACCGAGCTCGGTCAAGCTCTGGACCTCATGACGGCCCCCCCTGGTCAGATTGACCTCAGCAGATTTACAATGGCAAGGTAGTGAAGAAAATCAGTAAATAAATGTTCAGAGAAGGATGTTGCTTCCAAAAGTAAATGTGAATATTTGATTCTGTTCTTGTCTTTCAGATACAAAGCTATTGTAAAATACAAGACGGCCTTTTACTCATTTTATCTCCCAGTAGCAGCTTCAATGTACATGGTGAGTTTGTTTCTTTACTTTTGTCGTGTGTACAAATGAAACAGAGTAGTATCAATCAAATATTTTTCTTAACTACTTCACCTTACTTTTTCAGGCAGGAATTGAGAGTGAGGAGGAACACAATAATGCCAAACACATCTTACTTGAGATGGGAGAGTTCTTTCAAATACAGGTAATTCCTTAAACACGTCATCCCTCTTTCCCGTCACGTATTGAATCATTTGCATCAGACTATTCAGTGTTGATAACCACCCTATGTGTATCATTTGCAGGATGACTACTTGGACTGTTACGGAGACCCTGCTGTGACCGGAAAGATTGGTACTGACATCCAGGATAATAAATGCAGCTGGCTGGTGGTGACAGCCCTGGAAATAATGACTGCTGAACAGAGAGCAGAGCTCGAGGTGGGACTTTAGATAACAACCCTCTGTTTTAACACTTTTATATATCCAAATAACTTGTATTCAAACTATGGTTAGATATAATTGCAGGGAATTTATTGCCAGCCCATACATTTTAAAGTGTGGTATTTCACTATAATGTAGGCCTACCATGAATTCACTCGGTGGGTTTACTCCCTATTTCCATCACAAAATTATAAGAAGTATGCATAAATACTTAACATTTGGTTAGTATATGCAACAGATAAAATACAATGATATAATTACATCTCAGAACTGTACATTTAAATTCAATCAATTACTAGTCGACAGATTCTCAAATTCTCCTTTTGATTAAATGTTATTAACGCAAAATATACCACCATAAGAAAATTGGTAATTCTTCAAGTAAGTGTAGTAAAATGGTGTTTTAAAAGATAGAAATGCAGAACTGTGTGACTATATAAGTGTCCCTTCTTACAAATCTTTTAATACTCCCTATGTCTAATAAAATAAAAACAGGTCATAATACCTAATGTAACAATTCAAACAAACAGAATTGCTTCTCTGCAATAGATACAAATATTTATTAAAACGTACATAAAAACATGACTTATTGTAATAATGTGCTAGAACAAAGAAACTATGTTTTCTATGGTTCTGACCTCTGAACTCTTCCCTGTAGGATGTGGCCCCCGACACAAACGTTTAAAAAAGTTCTATCTGAGTTGCTTTCTTGAAGATGATGTGCAAAACCTAAATCTGTCTTCCTCTCCTCTTGTAGGTATGTTACGCGCAACATGATGATGCCTGTGTGGAGCAGGTCAAAGCTCTGTACAACACCCTGCAAATGCCAGCTTTGTACCACAAATATGAGGAAGAGAGCTACCAGCGGCTACAGAAACTCATCGCGTGTCACGCTCAAAACCTTCCCCACTCAGTCTTCCTCAACTTTGCTAAGAAAATATACAAGAGGAACAAGTGAGAGCACAAACAGTGTCAGATGTATGAGCCTGGGCTCATTTTGGGTTTGTCCATGACGCTCAGATTAACTCCTCGCCATTATTAAAGAGGGTTCGTCAAGGACAAGGCTGACTCCGATCAGCATGACCCGAACAGCTCTTAAAAATCCTGCAGGCAGTTTCTTATCGTGGCGGCTGTTTGTAGATATCTGGTTGTGACTGTCATTAAACAGCCTGCCTCTTTTGGTCCATGCTACCTATTTATTGAACGCAATGCATAATCAACAGTGTGTTGTTTTCTCTATTGAAGAAACCTGTAGATTGAAGAATGTGAAATGATTCACATATGCTGTAGCATTCATAGAAGTGTGCACTGTTGAGTGCAGAGCAGGATAGAGAAACATATCAGAGTAGAAATAGTTTTAATTGTTTAAATACAGATGTATTTGTTGCTTAGGGACTACAAGTAACAGTACATTTATGACAGCAGATGCACTCTTGTCAAAGGGCATCTTTCTAATTCCATATATTTTCATATTGCTGCTGTAAAATCTGTACTGAACTGAATGTTATATCTTTAAATAAATAATAATGTGAAGACTATATTTCTTTCTATTACATGTTTTTGATGATTGTAAAGCAAAAAACTGTAAATTGTTTCAATAATATATATACAATACTTATATGAAATATATTGTTTTGATTATCTATTCAATGTTTCAGCCATTTATTTTACAAAAATGACAATGCTTATTTTTCCATGTATGATAGTAATTCAATAATGGGGTGAATATAGTGGGGATTTTTGACATTATTATTAGATTGATCAAGAATATAGTTGACACATTAATAGATGGTTACAATCACGACTAGAAGCAGTAGTTGGGATATGTGAGGAGGATTGTATGTTAGTTAATTTCCTTAAAGCAGATTAATAAATACATGGATGAGCTGCAGATAGGATGATGTCACAGGAAAATGAGGCTCTTCACCTCAAAACTAATAATTTGAAGGACTTGAAGCTGAAAATGACATAAGATAAATTGAATGTGATGATAAGCCAAGTGAGGGGTGGGGTCTGGTTGGGTTGGGTTGGGAGGGGGGTGGGGGCGATGGTTTGTCGGACGCTCGCGAGAAGACATGCTGAGGCTGCCGTCGGAGAGAGTCACTTTCACACGGACTGGGATGTGAGCGAGCGCGACGAGATGGAGACCTTCATCCATCTTTACCTGAATCTGACTGTGAGTCGAGTCCGTATATTGTGTCATTCTATATACATATCTTTAAACAAATAATATGTTTTCTAATAAACCTGCATAGTGTGGTCGGATTAGCGAAAGCTGCTATTTCCACACGGAGCCTGCGTATCAAGGAACATGCATTCCGCTATTAGCAGTGACATTTAACGCATATTTTTGAGACAAAACATATTATTATTATCATCGGTTTTAACTGCAATCTTAATATTATGTGTGATATTTGAGAAATAGTAGGGGCCTGTGGGCTATATGAGGGCGATGCGGATGGAGGTACCCCTCCTCCCCCCCCTCCTCCTCCCTGTCTCCATCAGCTCTGTTGGATCAATAAATGCATGGGGTAAATACTGTGAACGGGTTAACTTACATATGTACATTTACTGTTATTTTTGTTTTATTTCGTGGCTTTGTTGGCTACAATGTTCATTCCGACGAAGGCCTAGTGCTAGCTTACTAGAGTGATTTATATTCCTCACTGATGTGAAGGGCACTGTGGAGGAATATATGAGTAATAGCTTTGGTGGGTTTTAAAAAGGCAGACTCAGTGTTGTTCAGAGCTGCTGCTAGATTATTTCATGCTCCAGTTACATTTTAAGTCATTGCTTCAGGTACTGTGTTTTTTTTTTTAACGTTATTTCTTTTGATCTACATCCTAGGCCTCTTGTTAACTTGTAAGGAAGGGCTGGCACAGATGGATAGTATAAATCATGATAATCAGTGCTCAGTGGAGCTGAACATGACTGATGAAGATTATGAGTGACAGTTATTAAGCGAGGAATTAGCTGACAATTATTATCATGGGGATTCTTAATATTTGTGGGTGACTGTTTTCTGAATTTGAATGCCAGGGAGACAGCATATTGAGGCAAACATGCACCCTAAAAAACATATGGACATTTTCAAGTATTGGTGTAACTGAGCAATTTGTAACTAGGTGTAGGTGTAACTAGGCATCTGAATATTTACAAAAAATAAAAATCTCTTGTTTAGTCCGACCGATGATCTAAATGTTCTGTTATGTGCAGTTTTCTTTCATAAAAGAGTCCAAACACATACGAGTATTCACATTTGAGAAGTTGGAACCAGTGAATATTTGACTTAAAAGATTAATTGAAAATCAATATAGTTGCTGATTCCTTTTCTGTCTGTTTTTTTATTTACTATTTATATTAGTTTGATTATAATCCTTTTGTGTTGATCCTTTTTCTTTTCTACAGTGCTGTGTGTAAGACAGTTTGTGTTCATATGATTGTTGTTGTATCCTCCCAGGAATTGGGCTGAGATAATTATAAAACAAAAAGCACAAAAGCAATCGTTTTAATGAATAGTCCAGATGGTGGGTTTAAACTTCAAAGACTTTGGTGAAAACGTGTTAAGAGCAAGAAAACGGTCTACGTTTGTAGAGAAGAATTTTGCTGCTAGTCGTTATTCACTGTGTGTCTCCCCTCCTTTGATGTTACAGGATCTTGGGAGTCAAGCCAAGATGTGACCGTCACCGCGCGTCATTGTTTGGATCCGTCCTGCCTTTTCAACACTTGTTTCTATAGCAACAAAAATATCAGAGAATACTTAAAAGTCCCTTTCCAACCATGCAGTCCTCTAGCAGCTCCTCTCAGCCTCCAAAGCCGCGGCGCTTTGACGTCAGCAGGCGGACCAATACCGTGGCTGGACTGAAGTCTCACGGCCCCGGTTTTCAGAGGGAGGATAAGAACATGAACACGATCGCCGCGGCCTCCCCACGCCGAGTTACCAAAACCCCTGTTGCAGCCACCAGGACCAGGGTTGGGGTGCAGCCTCGAGCACCGGTCACCCAGCCCAGGTTTGTCTCGCAAAGGTTGAGCCAACAAGGCCCCACCATCTCCAAAACAGCTAAGCCCAAACCCAAGACTCGTGCATCTGCCGCAGCCAAAATTGCACCAGCGGCCGCTCCACCTCCACTTCCCTCCGTTCTCCCTCTTGACACGAACTGCAACGAGCCGAGCCTCCCGTGTCTGTGCTGCGATGGCCGCTCCCCGCAGGACAACAACAGCATGTTTAACCATAACCACAACAACAACAACACCATCTCTATCCGACAGCAACTGAAGCTACCGCCTCCTCCGGCCCCCTTGCCACAGAGGCAGGATGGGAAAGGAGCCAAGGAGCCGTCTCAGCCTCCGTCACAAGCGCAGGCCCAGCTGGAGGCCTCCGCCCGCCCTGCTGCCACTCTGGAAAACGAAGGCAAGAACGCAGACGCTAGCGCTGATCTGGACAACAAGAAAAATGTCAAAGTAGAGGAAGAAGATGACGATGAAGACAGTGGGGATATTGATATTGATGATGATGAAGATGAGGCTGACGACGATGATGATGATGACACCCTGGTCCCCTCGTGCTGTGACTGTCCCCCCTCCTTACTGGAGTTCTCGCTCTCCTCCTCCACCTCCTCGTCCTCCACTTCCATCAGCTCCTGCTCTGATCTGGAGTCTGACTGTGCAGATCAATCCGCCTCCATCTGCTCTTCCCACGACGAAGATAATCTGTCCCTCGCTCTGTCCCCCAAAGACCACTCTCTCCCACTAGCCCCTGAATGCAAGCCTCCTGCGCGTTCACCCCCATCCCTTCCTCTTAACTGCAACCCCTTCATCCTGACGTCACACTCCCCAATTCCCCCGTGCTCCCCAGATGAGGGTTACCCCTCTGCCCTGGACTCCCCTTCTCCAGACTACTTAGGAGTCAAAGGTGATTCAGAGGTCAACAAACTAGGTTTGCTTGACTTTCTTGAGTCAGTAGGGGAGTTTGGGAAAATGGAGCGCTTCAGCCAGGTGATCCAAGTGGCTCGTTGGGACCTTGAGGGGGAGCAACACTGGGATGTTCTGAAGGATCGACTAGACCACCTGGACCACCTGGAGAAGGTGAACAGGGAAGTAAAACTGGCTTACATCGCCAAACTCCACGAGAAGGGATTTGATCTTGGGGATCTTGAGGAGCAAGATCTCTCAGATGTAATGGATGAAATGGGCAACATCGACATTACCTGGAAGTTGTATAAAAGCGGCAGAGGAGCGATGGGAGACTCTCAGGAGTTTTCAGATGCAGGGGTTGATCTTACGGCTCCTTCAGACTGTGAGGACCCTCTCCTTCCTGATTCCCTCACTTCTTCTCCTGTCGGCCCGCCACCGAGACCCCCCAAACCCCCAGCGCGTCATGCCAGCGTGAGCTCTGACCTCCACACCTACATCAATATCAGCAGGGAGACGACTTCCATGGCTGTCTCCACCTCTCCCACCCTGTCTACTTTCTCCCCTAACTCCTCGTCCCCCACTTTCACTACTTTTAGATGTGAGAAACCCCTACCTCCATCTCCACCCTCCATTCCTCCCCTCCCAACTTCTAAACCTGTCCCTTACTTCACTCTTTACACCACCCCTTCTCCGCCTCCATCACTCCCCACCCCAACTCCTCCCATTCCTCCCCCTAGGAAGCGTCACCTTGCCAGGAAGGAGGCACAGCGGCTCGCTGCTCTTCAGGCCCTACAGGAAAGCACCCCCCTTTCCCTCCCTCCGCCTACCACACGTCCCCCACCTCTGCCTCCCCCGCCAGTTATCTCAATCTCCTCCTCATCTCCCCCTGCCATACCACCTCCGCCTCCACCTGTCCTGCCCTCTCCCCCATCCTTCCATGTACTAGATGTAGAGATTCATAAGCTGTTGATGCTTGCTGGAGTGACCCAAGCGGAGCTTCTCAAACTCAGCCCAGAGCTCAGTGTTTGCGTTGGAGGGTTAGAGGATGAAGGAGATCATGATATCTCGTCCAGGTGTGGGGATTCTTATGAGTTCAGATTAAATGAGAGGGAGGTGGAAAAGGATTGTTATAGAGATGGATGGAGCAGCAGAGGCAAGTTAGATGGAGATCGAATAGCATATATAGCTCAAGAAACCAACAAGGAAGCGGAGAGCACACAACGAACCACCTCGTTCACTGAGATGGCGAGGAGGAAGAAGAGGAGCTGCGGTCTGACCTCCGACCCCTATTACAGCACTGGTTTTAGCAATACACATGAAACTAAAGCAAACAATATTAGCTTTGACTCTTACCGGTATTCTGCAGAGGAGCTAGATTCACCTCCCCCTCCACCTCCTCCTCGTCCTTTACCCCCAATCCCCCCATCTGTGCCATCCCACAAAGTGAGCACTCTTGTGGCTAACTCTGCACAGCCTGATCGATTTGATTGGCTAATAGCGTTCACACCTGAATGTGAAGGCCCACCAAAGCTTCCACCCCTTGCAATGAGAAAATCTCACGTGGAAAGTCAAAAGAAGCTCAGCTCATCGGGGTCATCTCCAGGTTCAGCTCCACATGTCACGACTTTTAAAGAGCTTCGTAACGGCAACAAGAGCACCTTCCTGCAAACAAAGGTGATCACTGATCCGGACCCTGACCCAAACATTATCACTCCAGATGCAGACATCCTGTACAACCTGAGGTGGAGACGACAGATGGCAGGCGGAGACGGCAACGAATGGGAATACACTTCTCAGGCTCAGGCCTTCTTCATGCAGCCGCCACCAGCCCTCACTTCAATGGCCGCTCTGAAGGAAATGCTCCAGAGAGCTGACGAGGAGGGTAGACAACCCGAGCTGTGCCCAATACAGAAGATTGGCTGCTCGGTCAGTGACAGCAGCCTGTGGACCACGGGCAGAGAGTGGGAGGTTGAAGGAGTCAAGAGGGAGGAGAACGAAGGAAAAGAAGAAGAGGAGGAAAAGGTGGTGTTGGAAGTTGAGGTGCGGGGACGAGCCGATGGAGGAAGGACTCTTGAAACAAGAACCACAGGTGAGTATTATAACCAAAATGATGCAAGTGCTAATAAAAGGGCAGCTGAATTCAATGATATAGGGGAGAAGGTCTGCATGGGTGTGTGTGTGGGTGAGGGAGAAAATAAACACGTCAAATAAAAAATGTTAACAACACAACTAATCTGGAATGGACAGATGATGAAAAGAAAAAGATGGAGAAAAGACTTGATCGCTTTTCTGTAATGCACAAATTACAACCTTGGACAGTACAATAGAACAAATCAGAAAAGCAAGAGTTGACTCATTTATTGAAAATATGTAGCTTTTGGAACGAGAGCATCGAGATGAAGGACAAGCATGAGTCACAGAAAGGATGATGTGTGATGGATACATGTTGACAAGGGATAAACAGAAGGTGATTGCAGGCGTGAAGTGAACAAGACAGTGGGAGTGAAGCTGCAGAGGGAAAAAGACCACCAATGAGAGATGCAGGGATACAGACAGTGAGGGGAGTGAGCGTAATATGAGGAGAAAGAGGAAGTTGGACACTTTCCAGCCAGTCTTTCCTGCACTCGTTATCAAAGTGTGATGTCATCACTGCCTTATTTAATTATTCATCTGCTCTTCAGACCAATGAGGGGGATTATGGAGCGCCCACTGAGCTCTCCACTTTCTTCCCCCCTTTATTTTTTTACCTTAATCTTCTTTTTGCATTCTTTTAGTTTATTTCTTAAATATTTTTGTATTTGTTACCTCTGCCTCTTTACTGGTTGTCCATCCCATCAACTTGGGATGCTTTCCTCTTGCTACCTCTCCTGTCTCGCCGCTCCCAAACCCCGCACCCACCCTCGCTCCCTAGAGTGGCACAGATAGCTAAGATCAAGTTACTTATCTCATGCAGTGCTGCAGTATACTACATAAAAACTAAGAATGAGATAGTTTGAAAGGGTGTATGTTGGATTTCAATTGCTCATATTCTTCCCCAATCGGCTTCACATTTTTAAAGTAAAATTACCTCTCTGATTTTACAAGAACTCTAACATTATTTCAGACTTTATATTTGCTTAATTGTTATAAAAAAATGCTGAATTACTAATGAGTTTTATGCTGCAGGAGTTTCCCTCTAAAACCACTGCAACAAGCCAGAAATAGGTGTGTACACCTTTAAGAGCCCAAGGGGTGGATCTTAGCACATGGACCAATGCCTGAGAGCCAGTGCCAGAAAAATAGGAAGTATCATGTGTTGCAGTTCAAAGACAGCTCAAGTCTAACAAAGGTATGATTGTTTTTTTAGCTGATTTTGTAACTCATAACTTAGGAGTCTGTTACAGGTAAGTGAAGGTAATGAAAACGGTTGTTGCTACAGTCTCTGAATATCCATAGAGAGGCAGATGGTGATTGAGCAGGAACGGGCAGAACTCTGCTATCTGTTGACTGACTCAGCATTACACTGTATGCTTTGCTGCTGGAGAGGGGAGGGGTGGTGGGGAAGCAAAAGGATGTAAAAAACGAAAGATATAGAAGAGAAAGACAGACAGGCATAGAGAGGAAGGTGATCCAGAGGTGATGATGGCACGCACTGCAGTAACGTTTAAAACACTGTGCTGTGAACTCTCAAATTCAAGTATGAAAAGAAAGTGAAAGCAGATGCTGTAAAGTAAACCTCACATTGAAATATGATGGACCTTTGTGATTGATGGTGACATTTTAATGATGCTGTCATTGGTGAATGAGTGGCTGATTGACATGCTGAGTATTTCTACCGTGCAGCTGCACAACTGCTCAACAGTTATCCTTTTATGGCCAGGGTATCATTTCCTGTTGTGTTAAATCGTTTTAAATGATAGACTGTGGTTATTGCTCTTCATAAATCAACTCCATTGACTCTCATGTGTAACTGTCAATCAACTGTTTGAATTCTGCATTACTGCATGATGTTACATGATGACGATATCTGCTGGAATACACTCATGTGCATTTTTCTCTCGACAGACACTAACATTTTCGACATCTCTCTCTCCTTCCCATTTCTCTGCCACATTTATTTTTTTACTTTTATCTTGATACCCTGTTTTTCTCACCTATCCATCCCATTCTGTTGTTTCCATTGTTTGTCCATTGCTCCGCTTTGCTCCTTCATACCGCTTTGCTTGTTCGCCTGCCCTCTCCACCCTGACTCCTGCTCCAATTTTTGGCTTTTTTAATAAGTAGTTTCCTCCCCACCACTGTCCCTCGCCCAGTCCTCCCAACCCTACTTCCTGCACACTGCCCTCCCTTCCTATCATCCAGGCTACTGTAACGCCCAGCCCTTTGCAGATCCCAGACCCCACAGCCATGCAGGCAGGGAATCCAAAGACAAATACTGCAACACACCGACCCCCCCTGCTGCCAGCTCAGCTTGTATCCACAGAGATGATTCTGGCACTGACATGAGCTTCGGCTTTAATTTTGAATCCCTGGATGATGTTAGTGTAGACTCTCCTTGTGATTATGGGACTATCTTTAACACACAGAGGGACTTTGTGTCTGACTCTCCCTGTCATTTTGACTCCCTATACTGCAGTAACTCAGGCACACACGTTAAGTCAGACACACCTGATAGTGGCACCACAGTGGCCCCAGGCTGCACCACCCCATATAAGAACATAGATGTTATGATGACGTATTCAAACAGTATCAACGCATTCGATTCGCTGCATTCAGAAAAGCGCCCACACTCTCACACAGACAACAGAAACAAGGCCAGGACGTCCAAAGAGCTTCCTCCTCTCCCTACATATTACCTGTACCACCCTAAAAACTGCCCTCTGCACAGGGGAGCCCCTCCTCGTCTCTCCCCTATCGGTGCCCTCTCCCCTCCCCATCGCCCCGGAGCCCCCCCCCCAGGCACTGCAGGCTTCCGCCTCAGCTCCCCGCTTTTCCCCCGCTCTCACACCTTGCCTGCCCTCGCTGCTCCCCTATACTATCCAAACCTTTACCCTCCTATACCGCCAAGGGCGCCCCCCCTTCCCCCAAAACTCTACCAGGCTCCTCCGCAGTCACACGTGGCGAGTAAGATTTCTCTCTCTCTTCTCTCTCCCCACGTCTTAAGCTCTCTTTCTATTTGTCTGACATCTTGCTTGCAAGCACGTCCGTCTGTCTTTCTTACTGTCTGTTTCTGACCTGGATATAGTGTCCCTAACACTTTTGTTGCGACCCGAGGGATTTGCAGATTTGAAAGAACTGTGGCTGCATCAGAAGGTAGCTCCCTGCAGGTCATCTGACACATCTTCACTGTCCTTTCAAATCTGCAAAGGGCCTTCAATGGAGTGACAGTTCTTCCTGTCTGGAGTCACTATCATCACTTTCTTTCTTTGTCTTCCTCTGTCTGTCCGTCTGTCTGTCTTTGTGTCTGTCTCGTCCGGTCAGTCTCCATGTTGTTTTTGTTTTATGCACGATGTGTTGAAATGTAAACATACATTACATGCCAGGCACAACCCAAGTAACTAGTCCATGATGTTGTGAAATTGAGTTAACATGTTTTCCTTGTATGTGTAGATTGAAGGCATTTTAAAGTACATGTTTTAAGATTCACTGCATCTTGTTCATTAAATGATAGTCTGTATTTATATAACTGGTTTATATAAATCTATTTATATGAACATTACACTGGACACAACACCTGCCCTTTATACATTATGTGTAATTGTATACAACCTGACTGAGCTTCAACAACTGTTTCCCGCCACGCTCAGAGGTTCCTCCTATGTTTGCTTATATTAAGTATGTATGAGTGTATTGTTTGAATGTGAGTCAAGACTAATGCATGGGAATCTGTTTATCCCTTTGACATACAGAAAGTTGTTTTTACAGATGTTGAAAGCTAATACCAGTAAACCAATATTTATAGGATGTCCTCACACACTGTTTTCCGTCAGTAGTACCATCTGCTTTTATTTGCCTGCTCAAATTCTTCTCATTGCTTAATGGCTTCTACTAACACTAATATTCTAGTTTTGGTATTGCTCTCTGTTGTGACTCATCTTTTTTTAATCTGTTGAATTTGTATTCTTTTATACAAATTACAGTAAGTAATTGCTCTTCTGCTGTTGCTGTCAGCTGTTCGCAGTGTCTCATTCGCTGGCTCTGTTCAGAGGACAGAGGCATCCTGGATGGGCGAAGATGTGAAGCATCCAATGAGAGGTCTGGGCCTGTCCTCTCTGTGCCTGCAGGAAAAAAAAGGTGTGCCTTTCATCCGTGTGTGTGTTCACCTGTCGAACTGTGTGTCTTTGTCCTTGATATATGTCCATATCTCCTACATATTAACTGTAACGTATTGTTCTTCCCTCCAGCTCTGGTCAGTGCCGTCAGTGTGGCAGTGGAAGCCATCTTGGCCCAGTTCAGCTCTTCTCGGACTGTAGTTCAGAAGGTCAGTCACAGCTGAATTTACATATTTTGAATAACATAAACAAGTTGTTTGTTTAACTATCAATCAATGTGTACTTCACTCTTGGTGATGAAACATATTGATTTGTTTATCATTGAAAATACTTTCCCTCCCTTCCTTCTTGTTCTGACTCTAAATATTTTGCTCTGTCTCTCCTCAGTCTCTCTCAGTTAACAAGGTACTAGAATATCTTTAGATAACCCAATCTTGTAGACTCAAGACTCTCTTTATAAACTAACTCCAATCCCCTAAATCATGTCTCATCACATCATACTGACCCCCATTCATTTGTCCTATTTCTTCTCTCCTCCCTCTCTCTTGAGTCATTCTTTCTCTTCCATTCCCTTGTCCCTCCCTATCACTGCACGTCATCTTCTTCCTCTCCCTCCCTCTCCTCTCCCGTCCTCAGGCTTTATCAGGAGACAGCACTATAAATCCTTCTCTGGGCCGTCTGGTGCTGCAGTGCCTCTGCCCTGCACTGCACAGCTTGCTGACCGATGGCTTGAAACCTCATCAGAGTGACCTGATTGCAGGCAGGAGGCCAAATTCAGCCTGGGGTTTGGTCCAGGCATCAACCAAGCCAGGTACCACTCTACGAATCCTAGGAAAATTAGCATTTATAGACTTGGATATTGTGGAATTGGTATGAATTGTGTCTTGCTTTTTTCCCCTGGTTGATAATAATAAGCCCTGGGTTTTGTCCGGCTCTCATTTTCCCACACATCATTCAATACTTGTTGATTGTAGCGTCTAAAATGCTGAAGTGAACAACAGAATGCAGATATCGATTGGCCTATGAGTGCCAAGTTTCACTGCAATGTTTTGCTTGCCTCAATAGATGTGTCTGTTGATCCCCTGATCTTTCTCGCTCTCTTTTATATAAATGTTCTCTTTTTCCTCTCGACTAATTTCAAGGTCCGAAAACACAAGCGTTGTTCAACCTACAAGTTCGAATTGGAGAGCTGCCTCAGCTCAGACAGAGCAAACACCGGTTCAACGCATTCCTCCTTGGCCTACTCAAGTAAGTACTGGCTTCTTATCCTCTCTTGTATCCTCTGTTGGCATGCAAAGTGCTCAAATCTGTAAATTCATTTTTTATACTGTATTTCAAATGCATCATCAGTTTTCCTTTTCTCTCAATGTTTTCTTCTAGTACAAAGCTTCTTGATTTCTGGCTGTCTCACCTTCAGTCTTGCAGTGGTAAGTTTCCATCACTTCCCTCTCATTCTTGTGAGCATGCTTGTGTGTAACAGTGATCTTGTCATGGAATCCGAAACCTTAGACACTCAAGACATAACCAAATGTATAACAAAATAGAAACACAGACACGCTGCTGATTGAAGGAATTATTATTTGTTTTACAACAGTATAAGAGCCAGAATACTTGCGTCAAGTCCGCCAAGAGTATATGTGTCTGTCTAAAGAATAACAGTAATCGTACAGGTTTTATACACTTCTTTTTAGTTTACACAGCACTATACCTTTGGACCTTCTACAATGACATGTTACAAGATCCTATATCACGTTGCAAACAGACATGTGTACATTCATGGTACAAAGGTCTCTTTAGATACACTAAATGATGAAACTCATGAGCATGGCTTACAGCACATGATCATATAATATAGATTATTTCAACAATCTCTCTTCCTCTCAGATGTGCTGGAGACATATTACCGGCCCAACTCCATCATGCGTCTGTCGCTGACCGCCTGCCAGCCTCTGTTCGAGGAGCTGCTCCTTGTGCTGCAGCCTCTCAGCCTGCTGACCTTTAACCTGGACCTGCTCTTCCAGCACCATCATTTAGAGGCAGACAGTCACAGTCCAGACATCCCCAGTCCACCTTGTCAGGATGCAGGAATTAAGCTTTCAAAAGAGGGGTCCCAATCCAAAACAGCAGGCTGCAGATATATGGAAAGCCTCTCGGATGTAGACTTTCGAAGCTCAGAACAACGAGCAGCAAAACAAAAATCGTCACCATTGAGTAGCCCAATGAATGGAGGGCCAGGGGAGTCGACACAATGCAGCGCTGCACCCACAAACGCTTCGGCCACTTACGCACAGACAAGTCCTCAGCTGTTGTGGGTGCAGGAGACAAATATTGGAGACCTGCCCCCTCCTAATTCTGAGGAGGACAGCTTCACTCAGCAGGCTGGACAGGTACTCCCCTTCATGCTGTTCCGAGTTTGAAGTTAAATATGTTTTGTGTGATCCTGCAGGGCTGACATTTCTGTTTATCATAGGTGATCCAGCAGGGATGGGGGGCTGTGATGCGCTGGGGAGGCAGAATGAGCCATAACCTGTCTGAGCTGAACCTGAAAAAGGAGGAGATGAGGATGGATCTGCCAGAACTTCATGCAGAGAGTGACTTTGCTCCGGTCAGCAGTGGTGCTTCGGTTCCCTGGCGTCTGGGGCGGATCTTTGGAGCCTCTAAAAGCCTCAGCAGCCCACCAGGTCAAACCCCACCAACCAGGTTAGCAACATGCACTGTCCTTTTTAAATTCATCCTAAAATGGAGAGACAGTAAGAACTTGGATGACAACTCTATGTAATTCCTCTCTGCCCTCCTGTCCCACTCTCTCTCTCTCTTCCTCACTGTTTCTACACTCCTCTCGTCTTCTGTGTGTCTGTCTGTCTGTGCAGGCGTCCCTCTCAGTGGCTGGCTCCTGGAGTCACTGCTCTGACCCGAATGGTGAGCAGCAACTCCACCCCGATAATAACGACGGCCCCGGAGCCCCAGGTAGAGAGAGCGTCAGAGAAAGAGCTTGAGACACTGGAGATGAACGACAGACCCAGACCACTCAGGTACAAAATACATTTAGTGATTGTTATTAGGGTGGGCTTATGTGTTTTGTTGAGTTACTTTTTAAAAGCTTTGAAAATAACTCTTTTACATTTCCATGCATTTGGGGTTGAACTCACCAATTCATTCATAGATTTGGGGGATCACATTCTCAATTTCTGTGTCAGCACAACATATTTCAAGATTAGTTTGAGAGGGGACGGGGGAAATTGGGGATGACATAAACCCAGATTCAAGACCCAGGCCACTGTAGTAAGGACCCAGCCTCATTACAGGGCATTACTGCTCTACAAGGTGAACTACCTGGGTGCCACTCTAATTCAAAAATAATATCACATTTTTGGCCGTAATGTTCTGGGATTTAAAAAAAAAAGTATTGATTGGCCTCATGTTAAAGCATCAGTTTAATATAAAAATTAAAAGATGGAAAGAAACATATCTGCATGGGTGTGGCATTACAAAAAGGTTAAACTTGAATATGAGCTTCAATAAATGAAACCCACCTGAATTTCTTATGGCATTTCTCAAGTTATTTCCCCATCCAAGAACACCAGTGGGTGTAAGAGACACCAGAATAGCTGCTTCTATATTTTCTGTCCTTTTTTAAAGATTTTGATTGGTGACTCACCAGATACCCTGCATTGTGACTCATCCAAGATTCAGATAAATCATATGTTGTGGATGACGTTAATGTTTGTGGTCGGTGTATATGTAAGCAATGTTGGCTGAGAAGTTCTCTGCGGTGTGTCCTCAGGTCGGTGCGAACGCTGTGTGATCACTCTGCTGGAAGAGGGTCGGAGCTCAGCTTCTGCAAAGGGGAGGAACTGGTGGTGTTGGGAGGAGTTGATCAGGACTGGATCCGCTGTCGTCAGGGAGACAAAGAGGGGATGGTACCTATCGGCTACACCTCCCTCATCATGTGACCTCAGTGCCATTACTGCTGCACTCCATCAATAAGAAAAAACCAAGAAAAAAATATTTTAGGCGAGAGGTTATGGTGAGGCTCCACTACTCTGAAAGGGATATTTCACGCTTGCTCGGTTTGAGTGCAGAACACCATCTGCTCTGCTTTACGTGCATCAGGAGCAATCTGCAGCTCTCTCCTTTTATGAACATATGGGAGTTTCCCCCCCCATCACAATCCATCTAGTTTGGTAGCATTAAACTAATGGATGATAGCAGCAGGAATGCAGTAGATGGTGTGAAAAAATGACTCAAGTCAAATCTAGACCATTTCATACTAAAAAACCTTTGATCTTGAAGTGAAGTATCCCTTTAAAATGTCTTTTTCTCAATGCCTGCCTTCCGTGTCAGCCACTGATCTGAAAATGATCACAGGGCAATCAACTATTCGCAGATTTAAGAGCTTTCAGATCAGCGTCTGCCCGCCGTCAGAAGGCAATCCGACAGCCTGGTAGTAGCCACTTTAACATCTTGAAGATAGTGGCGGCTGGCAGGTTGTCGAGAGGAGAAAGCATGTGAGAGTAGAGGGCCGTAGCTCCTGTTGCATACTGCGTAGTAATGTAGTGAATTGTAGCTGTGTAGATCTGTGTTCTATTGACCTTTCACCCCTATTGACCTCTCACCTTTATCGCCTGGTTCATGTGTGTTTGACATGTTTCTGCTACTATATATGACTGTATAAATATACATACAAAATATATATATATATAAGGGTATATAAAATAAGATTGATATTACCAAGATAGATAGAAAGAACGATGAACAAGAGAAGGCAGATAGTAAAACACAAGCAGCAGCTTAATACTGTGGCCACATTGAGGAAGTAAATTATTAAAATACTTTATCTTTACATCTGCAACTTCACACATACATTAAGTGGTTGTCATACATGCCAAAAAAACGGTATATGTGTTTGTTTTAAGTATGAAATCCAGTATCTTCCCTTATGTGTGCTTCATCTATTGCTGTTATTGTGACATCATATTCATACATTATTAGATTTATCCTCATACCTTAAACACTAAATGCATTGTAATGTGCCATGAATGCTCTGAGTGAATGCCAGAAAATATCACACAGTTCTAGAAGATAATATTTGGCTACAGCAATCTCTAGCCAAACTCAACTCGTCCAAAATGTAATGTCCGAGTAAACGCTTCACAACACTTTGCTCAGCTCTTGTTTAACACTATCTGACCTTAGACTTAATGCAGTGAGAACATCCCAGATGTGTGTAACTCATGACTGCTTCTGTAAAGTCTGCAGGTTTGGTGGCTGGTCTTCACCTCATACCTCAGCTTTGGTATTTGTCTTCACCCTCCCCCCACCATGTTTGCTCATCATAATCATTGATATTAATGATAGTGGTAGTGGTGTAAGTGTTGATTCTAATGTTGAAACACATTGCTTTGTGTCATTAGTTATTCTCTAGATTCTGCATAGATTACTATGCATATGGTTCAATGTACAACGTTTGTTTTTAAAGTCATGGTTTCGATTTGATGCTGACACCTAAAGCCAAAAAAAAAAAGCTTAAATATATAAAAGAGATTTAACCGGTCTGGCTGACACTAAAGGACCTCTAATTAATTCATTAGGAATGTGTCTTTGCTATAGATCAATCAGGGAAAGCTCAGTTCTTCAAAGTTTCCTAGTGTTATCGTGTCAATGCCATGTAGCATGACATCTCGTTGCATTAAGTCGAACTAGTGCTCATAACGTGTAACTTATGATCACAATAAAATGCCAACAAACGGATAATACCTAGATGTTTACAAGAAATAAGAATCAGCTGACACATTAAATTGTGTTCATCTTTTTGGTTTTGTTTATTTTTTTAGATTCTGGTCTAAATGCATTTGTTTGAAAGCTGTTAAAAATGATTGGATGTTCTATTTATTGATCTGGAGGTTCCTGAAAGGAAAAGCTCTATCTGACCCATCTAGTGTCTCTCTATCTATCTGGGTTATTTATGTGTGTATGAGCTTGTGTGTGTGAGCGTGCACACAGCAGTGAAAGCAGAGATGAGTGTGAGCACATTGGTGTGTCTGCACATCCTGCACTTTCACCTGTATGCGTGTGTGTTTGTAACAATGATATGTGTACCTCCCTCTCCTCCTCTTTCTCTCTGGTGTCATGTAGCCCGTAGACATTCCTGTGTCCTACTATTGCATATAGTTCAGTGCCCCTTAGTGTCAGTCACTGTCCACCTCCTGCATGTGCTTGTTTGTAAATACACCAAATAAAAAGATCAGTATAAACCAAACATGGGCAGCTGTTTGAGTCATAATTTAGCACTTAAATGTATGTTTCAAGCCTTTCAAACAGAGTTTTTATGTTAAACCATCATGGAAAACATGTCCTGTAATCGGTGCTATCTGAAATGTGACAGAAACGACCTGCATGTGTGTGTGTGTGTAGAGACTCTGTAAAACACTTTAAATATCTGATTACACACTAGAGGTGATTTTATATTACTGCTTTGCTCAGATAAAAAAATCCCAGGATGCACTCGGATGTGGTGAAGGGCGTAAAGAGGAGAATAAATCTCGGGAGTGAGCTGCAGCCCTCCCCCATCTTGTAACCGTGGGCCTTTTGATAACGTCCTCCATTGTGGGTCATTATGGAGGACAACACTGAGTGAGATATACAACCTAACACCACTAGATAGCACTGTTAGCTCAAGCTGATTAAAATCACTGCAGTAACTTCCCATCACACACACACATATACACACATACCATGTATACATCACTTCAGGGGACATTACATTGACTTACATGCATTTCCTGGAGACTTATCCTAACCATAACCAACACATGCCTAACCCTAACCCTTACCCTAATCCTAACCCTAACCAAGTCTTCACCCTAAAATGAATGATTCCCCTCATGGGGACCTCCAATTTGTCCCCATAAGGGAAGCCAGTCCCCACATGTGACTATGTAAACAGATTTAGGTCCCCACAAGTATAGTAATGCTAGACCACACACACACACACACACACACACACACACACACACACACACACACACACACACACACACACACACACACACACCAAGAGAGCCTTGCAATGGATACACAGAGTCTGCAGGGAGAACTAGTAGACATAAAATGCTTTATTATTATGGTTATAGAGGCAAAAGATCTGAGCTGACATTCTATGGCATTGAGTTATAACTGTTTTTTGATGTTTTGTTTTTTGAGATGCACATTATCAGAGGCAACAGGCAAAGGTTACATGTCATGCAAACTAGATAAATAACTCTTTATGTGTACCTTTGCTATAAAGTTAACCATCCACCGGCAATAATGTAGTGCTCTTAGTTAAAAAAGGAAAGAGGAAAAATATACACAGTATGTAAACAGTCAAAGAAATTGCACTTTCTCGGCTTGTTATTAGAAGCCACACTACTGAAAGAGAGCAGAAATGTAACACTGGCAAAACTATTTCACTGTCACTGATTGTCTGACCAAAAAAAGTCAGTTAAAAAAAAGTTATTTAATTCTACACAATAAATCATACAATCATAGTCAATTATTTAGGGACAAATTACTGATACATGTATATTGGTCAGCTGTATAATCCGTTAAAAACATGTTAGTAAAATCATGAAATGATTATTAAGTTGTATGTATTATCCCAATAGTATTGTCATGTATAATACTCATTGTACACGCTACTGCTGATAGGAGGAAAGCAGGTCTCTCTCTATGTACATATACATGAAACTAAACGCTTATGGTTTCTTCCACTAAGTGGATTAACCCAATGTTCCTAAAATGTGAACAATCTACTTTGCAACTGTACAGGAAAATGACCTCCTATCCTCACATATTCACAACTAAAAAAAACACAAGTCCTTATATAGTCCTTATCAGAGAAGATATTGCTTTTAAAGACTGCATGAGAGTTCACTTAGGTACGTACACAAGACAACATGGCACTTCCACAGAGCATTTGGGGCAAATCAATTCTAGTTTTCTCTCCTTTCACCCAAGGACATTCTGATTGTCAATGCTCGGGAGCAAAAACATTCTCAAAGGCAGCCTGAAGTAAACAAAACACTTTTTATCCATCCCTTCCCCAGGAAGCAATACTGAAAATAGTCAACAATAAACATTCCTATCATGAATATACATTTGCCCATCTCTTTAGCAGACAGTGCTCAAGCTGTCCTTTTTTTCAAAAAATAACTTCTTTCTTAAAACCTCATTAGAAATTCTCTTGCAGCAATGCCAAAATTCCTATCACTAAGCCCGCCCCTCCCCTGCCTATTCACTGGTACATAGCAGACGCTGTCTTGGAAAAGTTAAGGAAAACCTACCACTGTCTCTCAACAGCTTTCACTTCTCCTTGTCTCGTTTCCCAAAGGGGCAATGTGACTTTGAAAGCTTAATGAGTAAAAAGAGGGTTCAATTTTGACCTACTTTGGGCCCAGGCTACATTTTTGTTCCCCCAGGCATCTCCTGAGCTCCTCGCGTACCATATATGTCCACTTTCAGTCCGTGACCAATGTCTGTCTTTCCTAGTTTGCTTAAGGTGCCGAAGTAAAAGTGTATGTGTTTATAGTGTGTCCACTCAGCATACATACATACAGTCTTTAGTGTGCTTGATCATCCAGCACTAGTGCAAATTCATATCAGCTGGTCTGTTTCTTTCTTTCATCCGGGACAGTGTATCTCCGTTTCTCTCATCCCTCGCCTCTTGGACAAAAGAAGTGTTGCCATGGTTTCATTCTTGGTGTGATGCCCTTCAGAGTGATCGGTTCACCACACTCATCTGTCAGTGTGTGAGATGTCTTTTTTGCATTTTTCAGCCGCAATAATTCTCCATCCCTCCTCTCCTTTTTCTCGCTTGTTCTCTCTGGCACTACTTCTGTTGATAGCAGTGCTGTGACATCAGTTCCTGTCCATCTGTCCGGTGGTGGGCCTGGTCCCTTTCTCAGAGTGGTCCAACCTACGTAAAACAAGATACTATCAAAAAGACAATGCATATACATCTCTGAGTCACTAGTGTTTCTGTATTCGATGCTCTGCTTACCTCTCAGTTAGCTTATGAATGCTGCAGGGTCAAAAGTAAATCATTCAGCCGTTTTCCTCTCTGTTCTCTGGTGCAGACCTCTTCTTCTGGTTTTTCTTCCTCTCCCTCCTCCTGTTGTCTGTTCTGGGTTTTGGTGGGCTGTAGTGTACAAGTAAACACAATTAATTGCAAAAGCAGATTTTTTATTGATGTGTTTTGTATGTGGGTAGTGCTTCACTCACACAGGGGCTGGCCGTGAGCGAGCTGGAGGTGTCTCGACTCTGATGGTGGGGGTCACTGCTGATAACCGTCCCCTCAATCCCTGCTTCCTGATCTGAGGGGTCAGAGGTCAAACAGTATTGAAAACAGCACATTATTTTGTCATCTGTAATGATGTGATGTTCCGAATTTTCTTTCCTATCTCCAACCAGTCAGTGAGTCTTTGATGGAAATGGTATGGTGTCACTGCTTTAGGAGAAAGTCTGTGGCTTGGTTCATCGACACCAGCGATGGATGATAGAAATGGGGAAACATTTCTGCAGGGTAAAATACTGTGGTTGGAAAACCACTTAGTTTCTGCTGAGTATGATATGGAGAGACAAGCCAAACATGAGGATGACTGTCTGTTAGCAGCACAGCACACACACGCACATCCATGCACACAGAAAAACACACAGCACAGGACACCAGAAGAAATCTATACAGACGTAGAAATTAAAAAGTAAAGAGATCAACACATACACGGATGCATTCACGAACACCTACAGGAACAAAAACTAACACACACACTTGCTTCATGGACCTGACTTGATGTGGCTGTCTTCCTCATCATCGGCTCCATCGCAGGACAGACCTTGTGAGTCCCTCCCCTCTTCCTCCATGTCTCCTTTCCTCTCCCTCTCTATCCTCAGCCGGATCTGTCTGTTTCTCACCATCTCCAAGTTCCTCACCAGGAAGACGTGATGTTTCACCACAAAGCTCCTGGACGGCACACAGGGAGAACCATTAGCTCACTGTCATTGGTTCAGCAACAATGCATCAAGTAGTTTCTCTTGACATTTCCATACCTCTCAACACTGGTCAAAGGCTCCAGGTCGAGGTGAGGGTACAAGCCAGCAGTTTCACTAGAGCTCTCCTGTAAAGAAAGAGGTGAAAGTTTTAACACTAACTAGTTAAATGATGACACCATCTGAGGTTGGTTATATATAAGCCTTGTTTTACAACGCAATTTCAGCCTTAAATACAAAACAAAATTAGACAAAAAACAGATTACTGTTGCTGACCCCTGGTACAAGAAAAAGACTGGAGTAATGTAAACTGTGTAATTAACTAAATCAGCCAAATATTAATACTACTAGGGATTTTGGTCTGCATTTATTATAGCACATAGATCCATTTCTAGGTCAAATGTGGTGGTTTTTGGTTGTTTCTTGTGTTGTAAGCTAGGCTGCAAGCTTTAGCCATCTTTATAAGGATAAAATAACAAGTAGATTTACTTTGTGTGAAAATCAATGGACCATATATATAGATATATATTATGAATGTCTCCTTTAGTTTGTAAACAAATGCAGTGTGTGCTGGGGTGTTGGTAGCCTAGAGGAAAAACTGAAACAAATCTGTTTTGTTTTTGCACCAACAATAATACCACAACTAAACTCTAGGCGTGGAAAAGTTATTTATTTTCTCTTTAAAACTACATTCTTCAATAGAATGAAACAGCCTGGAGGCAGAAGATCTCACCGCTGTCTGATGAGAGGATAAACTCCTCATCTTCAGCTGGCCTGAGTGACAAAGAGAGACAGTAACACAGTCAGTTGCAGTATGAGAGAATGTATCTGATGCATTTACTAAACCTGAAGATAACACATCCAAAACTAGCAACTCACAGTAACGCCGCTTCCTCTTCAGGGGAACAGCAGGCTGACTGTGAAGCTGTGACAACACAAGATGAGAATTACATGCACACTCACTCCACAAATCTCCTTTTATCATAACATTTTATCTCCAACGATGCTTCAAGTTGACTGTCTAACTTCCTGATTCTGTGTTATAGAGCTCTATAGTACCTGATTGTTCTGCCACAGCCACATCACATCATAGGGTAACTGGAAATTCATCCGCTTCAGCCTTAGGTACTTCCCTGGAGGACAAAAAGAGAGTTTGGATGAACTATCACGGCTACAACAACTATATAAATAAACTTGCCTTGCCTTGCCTTACAACAAACTACATCACTATATCCCTTGTCCTTGTACTTACCAACATTTATGGGAGCAGGTAAAAGGCTGTATTCACGCTCATCCCCTGAAGTGTCTTCCATGCTCTCTGTGCACGACTGCTGGGCTTGGGAGGGCGGGCTAGGAAGGAGACACATTGAATACATTAACTAAAAAACTGATAACGTAAAAAAAGTTATTAATTTGTTTTTGAAATCAGTGTACTCACTCTATAGTTTTGTAATCATCAGAGTAAAGACCCGCCCTCAGAAACGTCTTCCCGGGAGGCTCATCTTCGCTCTCCTCTCTTAGGATGGTTTCCGGTGAAGATGGAGCCTGGTCGAGATCTGAATGGCTGAAACATTCAGGTAGGGTGTCACACTCAGGTTTATCCTCAGCGACACTAAAAGGAAAGCATGAAGAGAGAGATAGAAAGATAGAGGAAAAAGAGAAAGAGAGAAAGGCACTGGTTTAGCACACAGTGCTGAAAACAGTGGGTTAATATAGCAATAGTGAGTGGTTGTATTGAATTTCCAAGTCAACCAGCGCAGGTACTTGATAATACATTTGTGAGTGTTTACCTCTGTTGACAGGGAGAGTCACCATGTTTTCTCTTCTGTCGCTTCTTCCTCCTGGCCTGCAGCTCCACTTCAGTCACCTGCTGGATGGTGTCACCTCCTCGTTCTCTCACTGGCCCTTCTTTACTCCCTATTGCTTCTCTACTATCTCTGTTATGTCCTGGCAACTGATCATTTGATGACACGAAGGGAGCTGCAGATGAGTGTGTGGGGGGGGATACAGCAGAGGGCAGTGGGTTCTTTCTGGGCCGTCCTGGCCTTCTCTTTTTTCCTCCTGCCACACTGTCGAGCGTTGGCACATTTTTCTGCTGCCCGCGGCTTCTTGAGTCACCTTGTAAACCTGCAGTCATTGAAATGGAAAGAGGGAGGGGTTGTGCCAGAGAAAGGCAGAAGGGGTGTAAGTGGCATAAAGGAAATGAGACAGATGTGGATCAGCGATTGAGCCAGCAGGAGGTGTGAGGTGAGGCCAGTCTGGGCTGAGTCATGCGGATGGGACACAGATTATGAGTCACAACATTTCCTCTAACAGTTCACTTCTGGGAAATGCATTAAGAAGTGATTTATGTACACACATTCACAGCAAAAAAGAAAAAGAATGGAAAGTTGCATATTTGCTAATGTAAGCATGCACACGTATGCACTCTTCCACTGAAATAGTTTTTGCACATTCAGTTAATGGGTAACACAATCTCAAAAGGCTGAGCAGACAAAGAAAGAGACAAGAAATGTGGATGAGTGTGCCCGTGGTAGGGAGCTGCACCTCAAAACACATGTGTGTTTAGTTAGATGATGAACTTATGTTGAGTGTTTTCCACATCTTTTCAAAACAACATCTTTCCTGCACAAGCTCTGTTTGCCCCCTTTCTGACCTCCGTGCTATTCCTTCCTCAATCCCTCCATCTATCTTTTTGTTCTATTTTCCACAGACCCTGACAAGACTGACCACTCTTTCCTTATTGAATTTTTCCAAGTCAAATAGGCCAGACTTGAAATAGCCAATCTGGTGGTTCACTAATGACTGTGTTCACTGAGTAGCCCAGGGCTGCAACAGCGTGCGGTTCGCTGCAGGCAGAGAAGATTTCAAAGATTTCCTGGAAGTTTCCCATCAAGATGCAGCCCTCCTGCTATAACACTTTCCAAACATTCCAACAGAGAACAGAGTGGTTGCATTTGTGTGTGTGTGTGTGTGTGTGTGTGTGTGTGTGTGTGTGTGTGTGTGTGTATGTGTGTGTGTGTTTGTATGTATTTGACACACGTCTACTGCACAGCAGAGGGAGACTGAAATTGGCTATAAAAAGAATGGAGTCTGATTTCCTCTTAAACACGCTCTAAGCTTTGATGGGTGGCTCAACACCACTTCAGAAAAAAACTGTCTCTATATTGGGAAAACTATTGGTGCCACAATCTCATCTCCACATTGTGCAAGTATAGAAATCTGTCATACTGTGCAAAGAGCCTCTTTGCATAAAACCTATTCACTCAGCCTGCTGTCAAGTTGTGTGTGCTGTTCAATGATCACGATTGATGTTAGATTTTCCATATTATCTATGAATGTATCTTTCTGCCAATGAAATTATAACACAATACATATGAGCATCTTTAAATCAATATTAACAATGTCATAGCATTTATTAATATTGACAGTTTCCAGCACTGCAGTATTTACACAGACGTTAGCACTAATGCTACCATGAGTTCACAGCCGTCAGACAGTCACGTCAGCGCTCATTCATTCCCACATGTATTGATTAACCCATTCATGCACCCTCACCTGTTCCTCTCCTCTCTGTCCATGCTGGCTCCTCCCTCCTCCACGACCTGTCTCCACTTCCTGGATTCCTACCGGCCAATCCGCTGTTCAGACCCCTCCCCCCTGTTGTCACGGCAGCTGATGTGAACAGGTTGGTGTGTGTTGGAGACGGGGATGTCCTGTACAGGTTTGACTCGTCCTCACCGTCTTCTTCTTCTCCATCCGATGCAATCAGTCTGCCTGTATTGAACTCCGCGGAGAAGCCTTTCCAGCTGGGGGATGAATTTCCAAATCCTGTCCCTCCCAGCCCCCCAAATTTCTTCCAACTCTGGCCCAGGCCCCCCCAGCTTCCTCCAAATGAAGATAGGTGAGAGGAGCCCAACCCCAGTGAGGTGAGAGATGTGTGTTTGTACCTTTCTGCTGAGGATGATGATGATGTTGAAGCAGCAGTGGACCCCATTCCTCTCGCCCCTTTCCTTCCTCCTTCTCCTTGACCTAAAATGAACCCTGACCTTGACTTTGAATTGAGCAACACTTCCCTCTCCCTCCTATCTTCCTCCTCATCCTCGGGCAACTCCTCCTCGTCATCCATGTCTCTCTCGCAGTGCCTGTGCCGATGTTTATGTTTGTGTTTGTGTTCGCTCCTCCCACAGCCACAGGAGAGACTGGAGGTGAACCCTGAGCTAAGGTGTGGGCCTCCTCCACTACCTCCCCCCATATCTCCCTCAGCCTCTCCTCCTAAAGCTCCTTCCCTCAGCAACCTGCTCCTCCGCCTGTGGAACCTGGCAGGGTTGAGGAGGAAGTGGGCATGATGGGACTGATGGGGGGAATACTGGTGTGGAGAGGGAAGCTGATAAGAGCTGGGGAGGTGGTGGTAGAGTGTTGTGGCTGGGGGATAGCCGCTATAAAAGCCCATATTATCGATGGTGTCCTGGAACTTTGAAGGGCAACCACATTGCCTGCGGTCTTGCTTCCTGTTGCAATGCAGAGGCTGGCAGGGGTAGAAAGGCTGGGGTGAAAAGGAAGGATTACCAGCGTAAGATGAAGTGTGAGGCGAGTAAAAGCCATTCAGATTTATCCTGAAGATGTTGGAGCGGAGAGAATTTGAGGGGGAGTGGTGACGCCGTCCTCCAGGAGCATTACCACTCCCATCAAAGCCCTGTCCCAGGCCCGTCCGCGCCCAACTACGCCGCCCGATATGGACCTCGCTGAACTGACCGATCAGATCTTCTAACTCGGCCATGAACTCTGGATCCTGCATGTGCAGCTGCTGGTGCTTCTTCTTATGTTTATTTTTCTGCCTCTTCAGTGCATTGTGCCCAAGGCAAGGGTAAAAGTCAGAATGAGTGCACTTGTTGTGTCCTGGGCAGGGGCACAAGCAACTATAGGCCGAGGAACAGTCGTAATCCCTCCGTCTGTGCCTGTGTTTGTCTCTGTGCCGCTCCAGAGTAGAGGAGTTGCTGATGGGGCTTGTGTGTCTTGGCATGAGAGAGAGGGGGGAAGAGACAGGAGAGGGGCGATCCACAAGAGAGGAGAGGTGCTTTTGTCCCCCAAGAATAACTCCTGACCCCTGGCCCAACCTGAACATGCCTCGAACTCCCCTCTTCTCTGCTCGCTCAGAAACACTGTTGTTATCTGTTCCTATCCCACTGTCGCTGGGCAGCGTCTCCTCACTGTGCGACTCACTCCTGGGGGAGGGGGTGGCCTCTTTTAGGTGGCTGGGAGAACCAGGTGTGTGGTGCAGAGCGAGGGTGGGACAGGAGAGCTTACATGACGACTGGTGAAAGGGGAAGTGATGCCTTCCCTGACATGGACAACTCTTCTTCACAAAGGGAGAGAGGGATGAGGAGGAGGGAGGGCGTGGGGAGGTACAGGAGGACGATGGGGAAGGAAGGGAGAAGGAGTGAGGAAAAAGTAGGGAGGATGTTGGTTCTGTGAGGCTTCCTTCACTATAAGGGCTTTGGGCCCCACTGGAGTGTGTGAGAGATGGGGAGGGAAATGGATGAGAGGAAGGGGGCTGGGGTTGGTTAGAGGAGAAGAGACTTGATTCAGAGGATGTGGTAAACAGGGATGATTGAGTGGCGTTCTTGGAATTAAGGTAAGATGTTTGGGCCTTAGGCTTGCGTCCCCGCCTCTTGCCCATGTAGATGGTCCCTCTCTTGCTCACATTGATCTGAGGGCCCAGCTTGCTCCCAAAGGAGGATGACAGGGCTGAGAGTGTGTTCACTGTTGTAGCCTCTATCGATTTACAAATTCCCAGAGACGTCTCGCCATTTGCTGCCTGGCCTGCCCTTCCCTCCTTTCCCACATACCCAGAAAGCATTACTTTGTGAAGCCTCTTCTTTTTTCTTTTCTTCATCTCATTAATCAGCCTCCTGATCTTAAGCTGCCTGTTCCCCTGTTCAGAAGGATGAAAAGTGTTGTTCCTGCGATTCAGTACGTCTCCGCTCTGGTCCACTGGGAGTGGTTGTTTGGGAGGACGGCCACGCTTCTTGGGGCTGGATTTAGACTGAGTGGCACACTGCAGTTTGGGACTTGGCTCTAGCACAGGGGCTTTCTGAACTGCGTCACACCCCAGAAGAGGCACATCAGTAGGGACAGCATTGGGTGAACGTTTAGGGGGAGGTTCATCTAAGCTAGAGCTCGGGGTTTTAGGGCGGCCTCTTTTTCGGGCAGGGGTTATTTGGCATCTGGAAGCATGGTGGCTATGGTCTGATGTGGGGTAACTCTGCTTTGGGGATGAGGGTTTGGTTGCAGAAGAGAGTGGGGGGCAGCTGCTTGTTAAAGAGCTAGACGGAGATGGTCGGGAGTCATCAGTCTGCTGAACGGTGGCCTTGGCAGGAAGGGGGGACTTGGGGTTTTGGGGAAAGCTGTGTAGAGGATTATGTTGGAAATCTGACGGGGCTTCCTGATTTTCTGCCCTCTGAGCCCGTTGCACAAGCTTGGTCCAGCTGGGCCGCCTGGCTTTACGTTTTTTGAGCGGACGGCTGTCCTGCTCTTGGGGGGAGCGAGGGGGAGAAACAGGGGCACGGGCAGAGGGAGTGGGTAAAGAGGGCGGAGCAGAAGAAGAGGGGTGGCTTGGAGGCACATTTGAATGCCTTGAGACATCTTGTTCTTTTGATTTACTGGTGTCACCTGTTGCTGGCTCTGCTTGCTTAACTGGCTTGCAACCGTCATCCGTCTTTTCTCTCTCATCTGGTCTGCCTGGATTGACTATTTTACATGTTTTATCTAGTATACCACTATCAACTGATTCTCCAAATGTATTATCTTCTGTTTGTTGTCTGTCTGGGCTAAGCCTATCCCTTTTTTTGTCAGCCTTTCCTTTTTCAATGTTTAACTCATCCCTCAAAATATCTTCAGTCTTATGTCTTTCATCCTTTTCTTTACTGTGCCTTGATTTCCCTTTATCCTTCCCTTTCTCCTTTTTCTTCTTCTTGCCTTCATCCTTTCTGATCTCACTCTTTGCGGTTTCAGCCTCCAATTTATCTCGTTTAGATTTCTTGTCTTTCCGTTTCTCTTTCTTTGCTTTCCTCTCTTTGTCTCTCTTTTTCTCTAGAGGGGGGTCCTGATCTTTGGATTGGGCAGAGGAGATATCCACAGAGGGGGAGGACTGTGGTTTAGGGGTGGCTGAAGAGGAGGAAGGAGAGTCTGGCCTACTCTTGTTGGACAGGCTGAGTTCTTTATTGGCGCTGATAGAGACTGGAGGTTTTGCCGAAGAGTCCATGGAGGGAACAGAGGAAGAACTACTCTGTTTTCCAACTTTGCTTTTTGACGAGGTGGAAGTGCCAAGGATGCCAGCAGAGCTTTTCCCGTTAGATAGCCCCTTCTGTTTTGTTGTCTGAACCAAACCATTATGTATCTTGGAGGTCTTTCCTTCATTCCTGGTTTCCGGTACAGACGGGACTTGGATGCCTGCGGTGGAAGGAGTGGAGGAAACCGTCTGGTCTATTGTAGGCGAGCAGGGTTTCTGTCCTGCATTGACAGTCTGCCCGTTGGTATTAGGAAGCTTGTCTTTCTTCACTCTCTCAGATGAACCATTTGAGTTCACCTCTGTCTTATCAGCCAGTTTGACAGGAACCTAGAGAGGGCAGACACAACATCTCTGTCATAGACAACAATGGCTGTGGCTTTCACTACTTTTCTGTTGACAACTTTGAAGCACAATGGGGAGGAGACAACCACTGAAATGCTTTTGTTTTTGTCCGCCCATTAAAAGAGAGAGTGAGGACAAAATGACTCAATCAGGCAGAGAAAAAGAGGGCATACTGAAGAGAAGGAGAGTGAGGTGATGGAAACAAGAATGGGGTTGACACAGAAAGGAGAAATACAAAGGCAGAGAGGAAGGGAGTGGGACAGGGACAGGGGGGGGAGTGAAAGATAAATGAGAGCAGGTAGAGAAAAAGAGCGGATGTAAAAATAGAAGAGAGGGACTGATATAGAGAGCCAAGGAGAGACAGAAAGAGAGAGACAGAAAGCCCTGCTATTGGTAGCTATAAATTGCCACTAATACAGATGAGAAGGCTTGACATTTTGTACTTATCCCATCATTTTGGTATGCTGCAGCTTGAGTGGCGTTTTCTGCAGCTAAAGCAATAAGCTTTCCCTTGGGTGATTGTCATAGGGACTGATGGACCAATGTCTGTAATAGCTCCAAGTGGTTGCCGTGCTGTTTTCCTATTTATAGGTCTGTTTCTTTAAATGGGCTACTTAGGTTTCAGTATTGAGACAATAGCTCATTTGACCTTATTACAACTGAGCACAAAGCCGGGCCAATTTGCACCACATAAGCATGTCTGGTAACGAACTGCAAAAACTAAAACAGAGCTGCAGCACATGTGTGCACCACGTTAATCACTAACCCTAACCCTTTACCATTGAAATCAAATACAATTGAGAGTAGGTTCATTTTAACAGCTAACAATATGTTTATCTGTGTGTGGGTGTGTACTTTGCTTACCTGTTTGGCAGACTTGGTTCCTTGGCTGATTATGGCAGGGACCGAGGTTGCCTTGGAAGCTGTGGTAGACGCTGGCTGTGGTGACGATGATAATGATGATGATGATGATGCAAGTGGTGGTGAAGCAGCAGATGCATTTTGTTTGAACGTGGTCTGGACAGCATCCAAGGCTGAGCGTTGATCTCTGGTTGCCTCGACTGGAGTAGAGCTGTTTTTGTTTTGCTGTCCCCCTTCTCCATCTCCCTTTAGCAGTCCCCCCCTGGCTTGCCTCTGATAGGTCCTTATGGTGGGCTTGCAGACGTAGCTTTCCAAGATCTTCGGCGGTTTCTTGGTGCGTTTGGCCTGGAGCCCAATGCGGAGTCGTACATTTCCCTCGGGGCAGCTGGTCTCTCTGCCGGAGATCTGAAGCTGTTGTTGCCCTGTGCTTCCACAGCGGCCCTCGATCAGCAGCTCCAGAACTGCCCCCTTGTCCCCTTCTCTCTTTTTCCCTGATCCTCTCTTCTCCTCCTCCTTCTGCCCAACATCTGCATCACCCTCACCCCATCGCTTTTTCTCTGAAACTTCAGAGTCTTCAGATGCAGAGGTGGGGTCCACAGTGGAGTTTGTGGTTGGAGGGGTTCCCCCCTTCACTCTCTGGTCCATCAGAGAAGTCAGGGGGGGGGAGGCAGGATGCTGTGGGGTTCCCAGTTTAACACTTTTAAATTATCCCGCTGGGGTTATTGGGCTCAAGAGCAAAGAGCCAAATGTAGGTTTAGGTTCCCAAAATAATATCCTGATATAGTCCAAGTCCAGTTGGGCTTTTTATCCAGCGAAGGAATGTCTTTCTCTGGTCCTTTAAGCTTGAACTGAGAAGGAGTTTGAGGGAGAGAAAGAAAAGACAGTGAGACACAGACAGGAAGATAGAGAGGCCAGTGATTAGTCATTTCAGTGAGCTCAGATGCTGAGTCGCAGTAGTACAGGAATCGAAGGGAAAGTACCCTTCCTGCAGGCAGCTGTGGAGAGGTGCTTAAGTCTGCGTCCACAGAGATGATCTCATCATACAGCACCTACAGATCTCCTCACTCAGGGGGGCAATCAGTGCCACAGATTCCCAGAATGTCGGCACTAACTGGAAGAAAGACCTACTCACGTTCTTCAATAACAGCCTCAGCTGGTTTTCTCGAGTAATTTGTAAATAACGGCCGCTCTGAATGATAGCAAATGCTTCCCAAACCTTTTACTTATGCTCACTCCGCCTCCTCTTCCCAAATCAATATATCAATCTATCAGCTCCTGACTAATTCAGTCACTTATCCAGTCCCCTCCCCTTCTCTCCCCACTGTCTTTGCGCCTTCTGTTCTCAGCTACTCCCACAAGCACTCCTCCACCCACCCTTCCCTCTGCTGTACTTTCTTTTCTCTCCGAAACTCCCCTTTTCATGTTGGGCAGAAAGCTTTTGCATGCATTCTCTATTAGTCCCATCTACTCGCTCTCTCTCTCTCTCTTTCCCTCTTTGTCGACCACACAGTGAAATGGTCAACTCACACACTGTATCCATGCTAATCAAAACCATATTTCCTCCTCCACTTCGTTCTTTTCCTCCTCTTCAACCTAAATCCCTCCATTCACAGTCAGACCATTCCCCTCCTCCTCTTTCAGTAGTGGTAACACAAATCCGTAGGAAAGGGTAAAACTTATTTTTGGAAAGGAGTGCAAATTCTTCCTCCTCCCATTGCTTCCTCTTAGTCAAGTAAGCTTTTCATTGACCCCATTGTAAATTGCCTTTTATGTGACATTATAGCAAGAAACCCAGCCTAAAAAAACATTCTCCTCGGCGAAAAAAAAACGTTCACTCTCCCTCGACCTCTGTTCAGCCTAGTTTTTAAACATATCTAAAGGAAGCAGCATCTTCTGTCATGCTTCCTTCATTATATTCACTCGCTCATTAAGGGAGAACATCATCCATTTTCTAATAAAACACACCCGCCTAGCATTCTTTCAGTCCTCTCATGAGAGCGTCTTATGAAATAGCTCATCTGTCTCTCAACGCCCCGAACTGCCTACTTAAACTTACAAAAGCATCTCAGATAATGTTTTCATTTAAGAGCTCAGTGGGCTATCTCTCCTGCCTCTTGGTCCCTCCACACCCAAACCCTTTCCTTGAATCATTCGAAGCTCGAATAAACATCTGTTCCAGTAACTCTTATGTAACAGTTTTGAAAAGCATTTCCGATGCCAAACCTCCTCACAATCAAATAAAATGAGCACAGAGATGGACAGTGTTCCTCTTTAAAAAACTGCAGCCTCTTTTCATGACCTCTACTCCCAAGGCCCGACTTGCATGAAGAAGAAGATACAGGCATGAGAAGAAGCTTCACTCCTGTGGGTGATACTCATGTTGTGCAAAGTGAAGAAGAGCCAAAGTAAGGAATAAGAGTGGCAGGTTTTCAAACCCATTCAATAACAGTCAAAGTGCATACGTATAGCTTGTTATACTCTCCAGAGTTATACCTCTCAAACATAACTCAAAATTATTCCAACATTAGACTAGAAGCTATTTCCAGTGACAGGATGATGGGTGGACTTGACACTGCAGTCAGTGTGGGTTCCTCTGTGGCTATAAGGCGATGATTAAATCATGATAATGGCCCTCCATATTTCCAGCCATCATCACCATCCCATGACAGTGTTATCATCAATAACTACAACACCATTATCCTCTGCCTGACAACAGCAGGAGCACAGAAACCCTGCTGGAAATTAGGGCTGCTGTGATGGCATCTTAAAATACTAAAGCCACACTCCACAGATACAGGGAAGTTTCTCACGTGGGTCTCTCTTTCTCACACACACACACTTTTTAGTGTATTTTAAGTGTGTTGATCGTACATTGTGTACCTAGGTCGCAGCTGCGTAGGTTGACAGATGTTGCTACTGTAGATACAGTATGGGCGGCAGTGGGGGTGTTACCGCACTTGAGCAACCTCTCTCTGGTTTACTGAGGACGTCAACAGGGGCTTCCTTCTCAAAAATGACTTTGCGCATCTCTGAAAAATCACTATCCGCCTGATGCTGTCGCACTTACAATTGATACACACATGCACGTGTTGTTGTTGTCGTCACTCCTATCTCCAGAAATAAAAAATAAAACACGTTTAAGCGTCCTGAAATATGCACAAATTGAAAGTCAACATGGAAGTGGGGTAGCGTCAAAATGTGTGCTCGTGGTGTTATTAATGTGGATTAGTCCTCGAGCCACCTTTTCCTCTCTTCTATCTGTCCTCTGCCAGCCCTTCTGCTGGTGTCAGCAACATTGAAATAAGAAATATCACCGTGCACGGAGAACAGGGGGAGAAACATACTCGGCAACAAGGGGATCAAATTAGCGCAACGTGGATGCACACAATTACAAGTAACCTACAATGCTAAGAGCTCGCTGTTGATGACAGGCCTGCACACATTAATACAGACTGCCATGGAAATCTGTAATAAGGCTACGTAGGCTACTCACCCGAGAGCGCGTCCCGGAGCCAACTGCGTTTCGGCATGAGGTTAAGGTGTTGCTGTCCTGCTCCCCCCTTCAGCAATCCGGAGGTTTCTGGCGCATTAGATGTTGCTTTGATTACATAACGAAGACAAGCAGAGGTTAAAACACCTCCTAAAACCGAGTTTAAGGCTCATCGGAGCTCGGAGCCGACTGTGCAACAACATTGGCGCGGGTGTTTTCATAATCATACAGTCGACCGATCGGCGCGTCTCCGCAGCTAGGTGGCGGACTGGTTACACTCCTATGGTTACACTACAGAGGCTCTTGTTTTTGCCCACTTCTTTCGGGAAAGTTACATCGCTCCCTTCCAGTCATAATGGCTCAGATTGTGCTCACACAAGCTGTTAACGTGTCCGGATGACGGGGCTGCAGCAGCGTGTGTGCGGGGTTACAGGCTGTGACATATAGAAGTGCGGGAATGCATTGCGTGGCCATTTTCGTGTGGCCAGAGGAGGAGATAAAATACAGCACAGGATCTCATTGCGGTTCATAACAGGCGATTGGGGAGGGCTATTTAGACTTAATAAAATGGCGACGACTTGTCTAAAGTGGGCTGCTGGTAGGAATTTGGGGAGCAGCTCAAAAGTTGTGTCGCTGTACGTAATATGGGATGGCTCTAGTGGGGGAGGAAGGAAAGGCAGGCTGGAGGGAAGCACTTATTCCAAAGTTAATACATGAGAGCTGTTTATTATGCATCAGTTAAACAGGAAATATGAATCCCAAACTACAAACAATGTTTTATTCACAGGAATGACAACATCATATGTGACATAAACATAATATATAATTATGTACAGCACTTTGGCTCGACCAAAAATCGTTGTTAAATGTGCTCTATAAATAAAACCTGATTTGATAGGCTACCAGTTTTAACTATGTGTTTAAGTGAACCTACAAATATTATATGAAAATCGACCTAGTTATATCATTCATGATGATTTTAATAATAATATCACTTTCATTATTTGTAGCCTATAGCTTGTGCTTTTGTGTTATTTAAAAATGTATTTAGTGATAATGGTAACTGTTTTCAGGATAGACACTACAGCTTGGTGAACCAATGTGAACCTTTAGGATCTTATTGGCCCCATTTTCTCCTGTTTTCCATGCATTGTTTACACTACTGTGTACAATTATAAAAGACATATTAAGTGCACACTACAGATTAGCTTAATCGTGAATAAAGCCTCTAGTAAACAACCTTTCTGAGGGTTTGCTGCTGTAAGCACAATATGTTTAATGTTATGGAAATGAAAAACACACTTATGTAAGAATGTGCACAAAAGACACTTGCTCCTCAGACTAAAGTTTTGTATTACTCCCTCTAAAAGAAAGACACATTTTTATTTTAAATAGACATGTACAACATGGCAGACATACATGTACTACACATAATGGTACAGAAAAACTACAATAAAAGTAAATTGAAATAACATTTTAAAATAACATAATTTGGATAAATAAACTTTAAAAAAATCTAAATTTACAAAAACTTGAAAAGAATCTCAGAATCATTTAGTGCTAATAAGAGTCTTTATAATATTTGAATTCACAAAACAATCCAGTAAAATGGGGGAGGATAACTGATGGTATTCTGGATTTACATTTGTAAATGTTACTTTGTATAAATAATACGTTTATGTGTTATTCTGTATCATATTCAAGAGATATATAATGACATTTTAATGTGTCAAACTGACAAACTCCATTTTCCTCAGTTGTTGTCGCCTGGCTCGCAGCGTCTTATTGGCTAAAAATAATTGTGATGGCGTGACGTCACTTCCTGCTGTGAGCTGCATGATGGCGGTGCCCATGACAGATCTGGCACATTGACTTTAACTGGAGGTGTGCAGCTTACCCTCTCTTTAAAACACTTCAGCGACATTTATCAGTAGATGAGCTAAACCGAAATCCTCGTCAGTGAATGTTGTTGAACTCAACAGCAGGTAAAGTTGCGCTTTAAATAACTCCTAGCATTGCTAATGTTTCCTGATAGGTTCCACAGCTAAGTTAGCTGTTAGCTTAGTGTTTACGCAAGGTTAGAGGACACTGCTGTCTTATGCACACTGTCCTCTTCTTTGGCTCTCCCCTTTATCTTAACTTAAATGCATGTCGTATTTCTTGTTTCAGATCATGGCTCTTCAAAGACTGTCCTTCAGACTACGGCAAACGGTAAGCTCACTGTTAACAGGAGGTTTAAGATAAAGGAGAAGATGCAGCCAGGAGCTGGACAGTATATGATTCAAAATACTTTTTTGATATATAGTTTTGACCTGGCTCAGCTGCTCTGTTTTATATATTGATGGTTGTGACGATTAACTGATCCATTACATAGGCCTAGATGTGTTCGTCTTTGTAGGGTGCATTACTTGCTCTCATAAATGTATGAGAGCAAGAAGAATATAACTTACACACATCATATTATGGGCTCAGAACAGTCTCATAATACACACATACACACAGGAGGATCCTTTTGCGGATCATGAAATACAAGTGTGAATCCTTCTGTGTGCATGTGTGTATTATGAGACTGTTCTGAGCCCATATCAATGAACTAGCACAACCATTGTTTTACCAATGTTGTTAAAAGAGCTATTCATGGGAATTATAGCTCCCATAGTAAGGTTAACATGTCCTTAAAAAATTGATAACGAATATCTAGCTAACCAACATTTAGAACACACTTTGTCATTTGGCACATGTACCATCCAGAGCAGTACTTTATGTCAAGAAAGCATTTCATTTCAAACCTTTATTTACCCAGGTGTATCCCATTGAGATAATTGATCTCTTTTTCAAGGGAGACCTGCTCTAGTAGGTTCCACATGAAACATGTGAAACATGTCATTTGTACATAAAAACTCCTTTACCTGTTCACTCACTAGGCGTTCAAGAACCTTAGCCAGAACTGATAATTTAGAGATGGGCCTATAGTTATTTAATAAAGTGGCCTCCCCTCCTTTTAGTAGAGGCAGGACATACGCTGACTTCCACAATTTTGGGAATTGTGTTAGTGCTGAGGGAGAGGTTAAAAAGAGTAGTGAGAGGTGGAGCAATAAAATCTGCAGCTATCTTTAAAAAGAAAGGTTCTACGTTGTCCGGGCCAGCCGGTTTCTTAGGATCTAACTTGGTTAAAACTTCACGAACAACATCAACAGTATAAGGAGTAAAACTAAAAGGGTTTTCCAAAACACGTTTTTCAGAGTCACAGACTGTAGTGTTCACAGAAGCAGAGTTAGTGACAGAATCAAACAGAGAACCACAGGACACAAAATGCTCATTAAAACAATTTAACATAGTGGCCCTGTCCGATATAGTGCCAGATGCTGTGGTAATGCACGGAGGTAGCTCATTACGGATATCACCCGTGGATATCGATTTTATGGCTTTCCAACATTTTCCAGGATTATTCAGGTTCTTTGTGGTTACTGATAGATAGTACTTTGATTTAGCACTTTGGATTTGCGATGTATCAGCATCACCTGTGTGCTCTTCTATTTATTTCCCATGATACTCTTGTATATTCCTGCAAATACTCCCAATATATCTAAGTCTGATCTACATGAATGTAGATCATAGCACATGTTTACACACAAGCCGTTTGACTTGGCTCACCTTTTGCTAAAGGTTCACCGTCGCTCTATTAAGGTGTTGTACTTTATCTTTAATTGGGCGGTTTCTGATATAATGAGTTTTGACACGTATCTATTAAATACCATGTATTCTGTTTGGATAATTTTTCAGTTTTCTCTTTTTTTTAAACAGTGTCTTGATGGCCCATGTGGGCAAGGCACCTGATGTAAAGCATTTTAATACAAATATTTACTATATTAAATGTTTACAGGTAACACATGTTCGGTCCCTTCACACCAGTGGCTGTGGGCAGCAGCAGCAGGCGGCTGAGGCTGTAGAGTCAGAACCTGAGCCGCTCTCAGTATTCAGAACACGAGAGAATGATCCGGTAAGCAGACCTGGTTTTACTCGTCATAATGCTCACCTGCAGGGGAATAGCAGCTAACCTGCTTAGTTGAATCAGATTTGTTTGTAGAAGCAGTTGTCTGTACATTTGAATGATTTCAGTTGCCATGCTTACGGCCCTTTTCTTTCCAGGCATGTCATTCAGAGCAGCATATGGGACAGTATTACACACTGCCCTCCACACACATCCGCACCCTGTTTCCTCATGGTCTCCCAGGGCGCTATCAACAACAGGTATGTGCTTGTGTCTATGCATGCACATTATTTTTAAACGTACGGTGTTTTTGTGACTTTTTTGTAAGATGTACTCTAAAGAGAAATTGTCATGCATTTTTTTTTTTTTAGCTAAAGACGTTCAATGAAGCCTGTATGATGGTGAGGAAGCCTTCTCTCGAGGTCATCTCTTACCTGAAGAAAACAGACTTCAGCAAACCTTCGCTGCGATATTTATTCTGTATCCTTTACAACACAAACTCCCACTCACTCAGATAATCATGCTCTTCTTCTCTTGATGTTCTGATTAACCTGTTGTTAACCTTAATCAAGTTGTTCAGATGGGTTGAATGGCACTGGGAAGACAATGTCTCTCTGTCACACAGTCCACTACTGCTACACACAGGGATGGCTGGTGCTGCATGTTCCTGATGGTAAGACTAACACAAACACATACTAGTGGATCAACTGCTGCCTCTGTACAGAAAGTATCAACAGTGACTCTTCTATGTCTTCTGTGTTTTTTCTAATACAGCTCACATCTGGATGAAGAACTGTAAGGAGCTGATGCCTTCATCCTATAACGACACTCGCTTTGATCAGCCTTTACAGGCCTCTGAGTGGTTACGCAACTTCAGAATCACAAACGAGCCCTTCCTCTCAAAGGTAATTATTTTCTGTGCTTTAATGAACATCAGTCATTAGACACTATTTATACAGGCTGCAATTTTACAATACGAACTTGATGACTGAGTATACATAGTCAAAATGAAGGCTTGTAAGTATAACAAAATGTGTCACAAAACCAAGCATGTAGGCATTTATAAGCTTTAAATGAGCCGGGACTGCATCTCACAGCAGTTTAGGTCACATGCTGATACACATTAGGCCATTAAACCTAAGCTTTATGACACCACCTGCATTTACCCACATGTACTGCTGTAAAAGCACTGTGTCTTTGCGTGGAGCAGGAGCAATATAACAGCATGATATGTTAGAGGTTTATTATTGGTGGAGAACATTTGATACTTTAATGTATTGGGATGGAGGATGTTAGGTACTTAAGTGTTCTTTACAGTGTAAAAATGAATATCAATAAAGAAGTCTAGTTTCCTACATTGATTATGGTTGGGTTGTAATATAAATTAATGTATTTGGCATCATGGAACAAACTAAAAGATTGCTAGCTTTATGTGAAAAAAACATTAAAGACCTGGTTCATGAAGTAAAATGAGGAGCTAGCCCATGCACGCATATTCAATGAAACTGTTTTCTTTGTCCCAGATAAAGACAAAGCAGCGCTATGTGTGGACAAAGAGAGAGTCT